GTTGTCATCCAACTTTTGATGTCAGGAATGCAGGCTCTGATTCTCTGGAAAGTCTCACTTACCAATGATGATTACTGGTGGTTTGAATGACAGACAAAGATGTGTACCATCAGCATACAGATGAAAACTGAGATCATGAGATCTTGCAATTCTTCCAGCAGTTAGTGTATATAGTGAAAAAAGTATTGGGCCAAGAACAGATCCCTGTGGCACTCCAAACTCCAGATCCCTTCTATCTGATCTCAATTCATCAATAATCACTGACTGGTGGTGAGGCATTATGTGGACCTTGATAGAGCATCACCATTAACACCTCTGACTCCAGCATCTTCAGAATAGTCAGGTCAGTTTGCAATTGCCAGACTGGGGTAGTTGCCACTGTACTTTTACCACGCTAGTTGCTATTTTGGTCAGGCAGCGGTAGTTGCTACCAGGGCTGGGCAGCGGAAATGGTTCATGTTACCGGAGTACCCCCTCCTTGGCATATCATGTGATAACATATATATTTCAGGGGATATGTTTGTTGGTGGTGAAGGTGTGGCTATAAGGGGAGGTGGAGGCCACTTTTTCTTAAAGATAACTGTTTTCTTGTTAAAAATAATTACATGTCTTCCAATAATTATGAATCACTGATGTTTAGTGATGATTAGTGAAGTATTTCATAAAAAAGAAACAACTTTAAAAGTCTGCAGATACAGCCAGCCATGTTTACTTCACTTATATCTATTTCTTGCTGTTCATGTGATATTTTATTTGAAATATTACATTATAGAGGTACACACAACATGTATAATCTGCATGGTAAGTATATCAACAATGTGCAGACTGCCTGTTGTTTATTTGAACTGCCAGTAATTACCATGATTACTGTTATTTATTTCAGTGGATGTGTTTTGGTGGTGAAGGTGTGGCTATATGGGGAGGTGGAGGCCACTTTAAGTTTTGAACAACGTAATTGTTTTCTTTTTAAAATTATTGACACCTAACTCATTTGGGTTTACATTTACTCTGTAAAATTATCATTCAAAATAAATTACTGATGTTTATGAAAACACATTTTCTGGACTTAATAAATACAATTTTATTTTAGGCACAATATTGTCTTTTGTTTTCATTCCCAACATCAGTGAATGAGTGAGCTAATCTTTAACTAGTACCCGGTATGTCATATTACCGTGTTTCCCACTATTGAAATGCATGAGCACTGGCATAGTGCTGATAGGCTGAATATCATGAGTGGAACTCGAGTGTGCTTTGAGGTGAGGTGAGGTGAAATTGGGTTTAATGTCACGCCCAAGATTATTGCACTTATGTAGTGACGTGCATGCACGTGTGTGTGTGTGTGTGTGTGTGTGACTGACTGCTTGTACTAGTCCAGACTGATGCCGATTTATAGTGCTAGCTCACTGAGATATCATGCTGCAGTTTAAAATCAATACCCCACTCAGACCCAGTATACCGACTCCAAGCCGACCAGTCCTTGTTTAAGCCCCTTTATGCCAAGCGGCAGACAGGATAACAACAAGTACCATCTTTTAACGTCTTTTGGTATGACGCGGCCGGGGATCAAACCCCGGACCTTCCGCTCTCCAGGGCAGACGCTCTACCCCTAGACCACAGAAGCAGTCGAGTGGGCTTTGTGCGATTGACAGGCGAAATTATGTATGACTATTGACCCTACACTTGGATGTATGATAACACACAGTCAGTAAGATCTGAAGTCTGGACCAGGTAAGTTGATAGGGTGAGGTATGATGACACCCAATCAGAAAGATCTGAAGCCTAGACCAGATAAGTTGATACTGAGGTGTGATCCAATCGGAGGCGTCATGACACCCAATCAGAAAGATAAGAAACCTGGACCAGATAAGTTGCTATTGAGGTGTGGTGCACTAGGAGGTGTCATGACCAATCAGTAGGATCTGAACCTGGACCAGATAAGTTGATAGTGTCACCCTATTAGTCACCTTGTACAACAAGCATGGGTGATGGGGGCCTACCTGCCATGACATCCAAGCAGGGACAACAACCATGACTTTGGCAACACTTCATTTTTCACATGTGGTAACACAAACACATTAATCATGTTCTTACAACCTAGTCACTAGACATACACATAATAACATTACACCAATATTAATCCAATTTCTTTACTACATCATACAACTACAAAGAAGATTTATGTAAAAACATACATATATTACAAGATCTGTATATTACAAGATCTGTAAAAAACAAACAAATGACCAAAGGCATCTTCCCAAGGTAAAGGAGTTAACTGACTATAAAAGTCCAGTTTCCACTCTCGCCAAACTATGCTCAAATTATGGAGTTATATTTTGGCTGGACTAACAAGTCTATGCATAGTTCAATCAAAATCGTGTCAACAAATATTTTCCAAATCTTTTTATTTTTTTAATCAAGGTGCTCTCACCTGATTTATGCACTTCGTGTAGTAAGACCTGTTTTAAAAGGATTTTGATTATCGATCAGATTGTCTTCACTGAGGGCTGCCATATTGTTTGATGCAAATGCAAGTGATATGAGTGATGAAATCTGATTAGTCAATAGGAGGGACAGAGAAGGGACATAACTTGTAATGGCCACTGGTGGCGCTACTATCAAGCCCAGAAATTCCAGGCTTGTTTGGCAAGGGTGGAAACTGAACTTTTACAGCCAGTTAACTCCCACCTCGAGAAATTTTCCCACAGGCTGCTTTGTCCAATACTTCTGCACATACCATGATACCATGATGAAAGGCAGAAGTTCTCATACTTTTCCAGAAATGTCAACTCTTACTGAGAACTGACTGTTGCAAGATGAGATTGTGGAAATGATACAGCTATATCCATCATAACTACTTTTGTAATAATATTGATAGTATGAGCAATATTCAACACAATCAGGTGCAATGACATCCAATCAATAAATTTATTAACAGTTCTAAAAACATACCTGTGCAGACAATAGTTTCGGAACATGCAGACAAGATAAAGGTCTTATCGAGAAAGTTCTAAAATTTTCAAGCAACAAGGCTGCAGCTGGCAGCTCTTGATTGACCTGGCTCCATCAGAAGTAACTGCTTCATAACAAGCCAATCTTGTCCCCTTCATGCATGCAGTGTGATTTCAAGTTGGCAGTGGCTGCATATTTCAGAACCACACACAAAACAAAAGCAATCAGGCTATAAGGAATTATTCTTGAAAATTTTACTTCCCTTCAAGGCGGGATACATAGTATTTTATCAAGTTCACATGGACCAATGAGATCTCATCATTCTGACATAGGTATCATAAATAAGGATATACACACATGTATACGTTCATAGACATTATGCTTACTTTGAATCAGATTTTAATTGTTTATATGTGGATTTAACAAAACTGATATGAAACAACACATTTAAATGAAATCTGGGTTAAAACAGAACACGGTAGGCAAAGTACTACCAAAAAAAATGTAACTAAACCATTTCACAATTTGTGTAGGGGGGGGGGGGGGGGAGTTTGTCATACTTCCCTCAGCATGGACATGTAGTTCTGGTATTGTGCAGGACTTTTACAAAGCTTTTTATCGCAAGTCTATGAAACGAAAGATGCACAATCAGCAGTGTTTTCAGAGATATATACACAAAGAAAAAAGTTAAGCACACCCTAATATATTTCATTATTATTTGGTCCCAATATTTGTAACAGTCATGAAAGATATAATTACGGGAAGAATTATGTTTTTTCGAGATGATATAATCAGTCATGCGTGATGAAAGCTCACGTGCCATGCATGGTATGCCCATGCAGCATGCTACCCTCCAGTATCTCTAAAAGCAGTATATCCAAACGTTAAAATTGCTTTCATAACCTCGGTTTTAAACAGTTATTCCATGACACTGTTACCATGGCATGTAGGCAATTATCAAACACCACAAGATGGCAAATAATCGGCATGCATAACGCAGGAATGTCTTGTAATGGCATTGGTCGGAATTTGGGGTATCATCACACTGTCGTAAGCCATTTAGTCAAGAAACATGCTCAGTCTGGTGATGTACCAGACCGTCCCAGACCCGGAAGACCTCCTGTGTCACGACACATCGCGAAGACAGGGACCTTCTTCGTCTCGCCCGCCGAGAACCCTTTTTAACAAGTACTCGTCTGAAACAGCTGTGGTTACCAAATTGTCGTTTCAGCACCAGAACCGTCAGGAACAGGCTGAAAGCAGCAGGACTGAGGGTCAGACGAGTCACAAAGCATCCCTTGTTGAGAGATCACCACAAAGCTGCTGGTTTAGCATGGTGTATTGCAAGATAGAACTGGAATCTGAGAACTTGGAGATGGATCCGTTGGTCAGACGAAAGTTGCATTCTGCTCCACGTCTATGATGGAAGAACATGAGATGTACATGATTAACGCCAATTGGAAGCAGCATTGCATCAGGAGTGGTTGTTGTTGACCCATCAACAGATCCAAGTCTGACTGGAGGCATGAGACGTAGAGTGGAATGCATCATCCGGGCACATGGCGGTTATACCCACTACTGATCTGTTTCACTTGTCATGTCAAGTAGAGACTTTTAAGGAACATTTTCACATGAAACATCAAATGTAACTCGTTTACTTAATCCTGCAGCTCCATACTTTTTTGAGGTATTGTCTAAGGTCAAAAGCAGTACCTGTGTTACCATGATGTTTTTGTCAGTAAATTTCAATCACAACTCACCAATATCTTCTTTTTTGTTGTCAAATGTTTGTTCTATCCGATGACAGTGGTATTGCCCAGCTCCTTTTGTCTGTCATCCCATGCCATGATTTTTGCCATTTGTCATGGTTCAGAACTTTTTTCTTTGTGTATATTATGAAAGTAGTACCGGTATTTGATTTATCAGACGTGTATAAGTATTTTGATTCTAACAATGAACACAGAAATATTAAGTAACATGTTAGGCACTGCATAATTCCAACACTAGCAGTCACATGAAGGACACATACAATCACAGACACTTAGTATTTATTATCAGATTTATTTCTTCTTTTTACTACAGACAGTATAAAACATAAAGACACAGTGTTGTAAGGGGTACATGAATGGTGTAATGCCAAAACAACTTAATCAGATAATAATTTTGCCAAATTGAGCAGTGGCATCTAAAAAAATAATTACATTTTGCCTTAAAAACATTTGCAGTTGTGTTAAAATAACATTGAAAAATTAAACAGAATATGTTTTCAACCTTCAATTGATTTCCACTGTAGGTAAATATACAAAATATATATATTATATAAAAAAGTTAAAAGGCATTTGAAAACATTTCAAGAAGAAATATTTCATAGTTTTTCAATTCTCTTCTCATACATGAACATATCATTAGTATGACAATGTGAGGTCCATGGAATCTTTCTTTTGATAAATGTGACCAACCATTAGATAACGCACCTAATTGGTGAAAATCATATTTTGACTTCTCATGTTATTTTAAAGCTATAGTATGTTAGCAGAGCTACTGATAAGCTTTATTTGTGTAAAATACCCCCCAAAACTATTCAAAACCCAATTACTGTCAATTAACTTGCATACAGAAAGGCATGCAATAAATGAAAAACTCAAATGTTTGAAAACAGCACGCATAAATACCCAATGAAGCTTTTTCAGCATGCGTACAACGGAGCTGATTTCCGAAACACAATTGCAGCTAATTTACTTTCTGAGTCAAGCCTACATTTAGAACTGTTATATACATCTAAAACATTATTTCATTATTTTTTTTTAAATCTCAAAATGCTTACTCATTTTGGGAAAAACCCAATAGGGTGATGAATAGATGAGTGAAAAAATACTGGTCACCCAATGAAAAATGAAATAATCCAATAAAATAGAAACCTTCGAGTAAAAACTCAATTGCTAAAAAAGTTGTCTGGAGTTCTGTGTTAGGAACACAAAATACAATTCAAGAGCTTCAATTTATATTTACTACAGAGACAAATGGCATCAAACATTTGGACTCATTTTCTGCAAAGTCCCATTTTCAGACTAACTGTTTATGTAATAATTGCAGTTTTTAGATACAATATCTGATTTATTGAATGTAGACATGTATGCTGAAATGTTCTGAAATGTTTTTATTTTACATTACAAACTTACGAGAGAAAAATAAGATATTTCGGGTCACATGGCTTTTTTTAACGGAAGTAAGTTGCCGTCAAACGTCCCTCTTTATGACGTCACAGCACAGTTGTTTCTTGACACCCCCTAAGGTCCCTTTTCTCCTGGTGGGTCACAAATTAAATTGGGGCAAATAATTTTTTTTATATCATTTCACATGGTCAGGTATAAATGTTGAATTTCTTTTGGTAGTTGCAATTCGAATGACAGACGATCCAAATATAGTGGGAGTTGTCACAAAAATAGGTTTTGTTTTTATACGTCATCACAGGAATTTCAATAACATAGACGTGTATAACATGTCACAAATGAAACAAAACTAACACAAAATACACCCAGCTCTCAGTATCATATGAAAAGCTAAAATTCCTGAGCAGTCACACGCACAACATTTATTTCCAAAGTGCAAATATGTAAACATCAATAAGAAAATATCTTCCTGGAATGTTTAAGTACTGTCTGATCTTATACGTGTTATAATAAAAGGGAAATATTGTAAATAATCTGTTATTATATCATTTCATCAACATGAAAATAAAGACATCTTATACACATATATGTAAACACCCCCCTAGATATATCCTGTGAATGAGCAAGGCTTCACACTGCTTTCCCAAGGCCAGACAGTTCACTGACGATAAAAAGTCCAGTTTCCATCCTTGTTGAACTAGGCTGGAATTATGGAGTTATGTTTTGGCTGGACTAATGAGTCTATGCATATTCCAATCAAAATCGCGTAATGAAATCAACATCCGGTTCATAAACAACATGGAATCTAACCTATAGATTTTGATCGGCTGCAGGATTTGCAAAGAATGTGTACTGTCAACTGGGCGTCGACAGATATTTCCCAAATCATTTTCATGTTTTTAATCAAGGTTCTCATGTGATATGATCGTCTTGACTGGACGCCGCCATTTTGAAGCAAGTGCAAGGTGGAATCTGATGGTCAATAGGAGGGGCATAGAAGGGACATACCTCGTAAAAGCCACTGGTGGCGCTACGATCAAGCCCAGAAATTCCAGCCTGGTACGGCAAGGGTGGAATCTGAACTTTTACAGTCAGTTCACTCCCTTGCCTCGGGAAGATGAATACTCAATTTCTGTACAGCTATATAAATACATATTTCACATGTGAAGATTCACAACAAAAATGCATATTCCCTCATTGTACACTGTACAATATACACTATACAGTGTACAACATTATGCATGGTCTAATAAACAACATTACCCACGGCACACTGTTCAACAGTATACATGAGACAGTGTGCAGCATTACCCATGGTACACTGTACTACTGTAAACAAACAACCTCTGTACAGTGTACATATCTGATGCTCATGACCTCCAAGTATGTATAAGGCATGGTCACTACATTCATCTGCACATATTTCCCAGAAACAATTAGTAATTTATGCGTAGCACAGACACCAACTAGAACATGTTGAAATCCTTAAATTTCTCAGCTGAAAAAGTAAGAACTTTTCCCAGAAGAATGTTTTTCAAATGTCTAAAAAAATTAAAATGACAGTTAAAAAGTCATGTCGAGGGTCATCCTGCTACTGTCAGGGGAAACAAATTCATTTGATATTCATCCTATTCATAAAGTACAGGACTGGCAAACATTGCCTATAGAAGTATGCAAACTGTCATAATAGCATAAAAAGCATTGCAAAACAAATTATTGGCTATTCATAAAAAAAAATGAAATGACAAAGTTTATCATCTTTAGTGTAACACTGATACCACATACAAGAAACACAATGTAATATTTGTAAGACACCCACATTCCTGTAGTTTCAATGCTACCTGTATTATGTATTTATTGCAAATGGCAGTCGGAGTGTTCCAGTCTATGATGTGAATTGATCTGGCTACTCCGGTCATCTTCCAGTGGACCACGAAGGGAGGTCTTTTCAAGGAATGACAGTTGGCATGTTCCAGTCTATGAAATACTGTATAAAGTCTATATGTGTGTCTGCCTCTATAATGTATTAATTGTGAATGACAGTCGGTGTGTTCCAGTCTATGAAATACTGTATAAAGTCTATATGTGTGTCTGCCTCTATAATGTATTAATTGTGAATGGCAGTCGGTGTGTTCCAGTCTATGAAATACTGTATAAAGTCTATATGTGTGTCTGCATCTGTAATGTATTAATTGTGAATGGCAGTCGGAGTGTTCCAGTCTATGAAATACTGTATAAAGTCTATATGTGTGTCTGCCTCTATAATGTAGTAATTGTGAATGGTAGTCGGTGTGTTCCAGTCTATGAAATACTGTATAAAGTCTAAATGTGTGTCTGCCTCTGTAATGTATTAATTGTGAATGGCAGTCGGTGTGTTCCAGTCTATGAAATACTGTATAAAGTCTATATGTGTGTCTGCCTCTGTAATGTATTAATTGTGAATGGCAGTCGGAGTGTTCCAGTCTATGAAATACTGTATAAAGTCTATATGTGTGTCTGTTTCTGTAATGTATTAATTGTGAATGGCAGTCGGTGTGGTCCAGTCTATGAAAAACTGTATAAAGTCTATATGTTTGCTGCCTCTGTAATGTATTAATTGTGAATGGCAGTCGGTGTGTTCCAGTCTATGAAATACTGTATAAAGTCTATATGTGTGTCTGCCTCTATAATGTATTAATTGTGAATGGCAGTCAGAGTGTTCCAGTCTATGAAATACTGTATAAAGTCTTTATGTGTGTCTGCCTCTATAATATAGTAATTGTGAATGGCAGTCGGAGTGTTCCAGTCTATGAAATACTGTATAAAGTCTATATGTGTGTCTGCCTCTATAACGATTAATTATGAATGACAGTCGGTGTGTTCCAGTCTATGAAATACTGTATAAAGTCTATATGTGTGTCTGCCTCTATAATGTAGTAATTGTGAATTGCAGTCGGTGTGGTCCAGTCTATGAAAAACTGTATAAAGTCTATATGTGTGTCTGCCTCTATAATATAGTAATTGTGAATGGCAGTCGGAGTGTTCCAGTCTATGAAATACTGTATAAAGTCTATATGTGTGTCTGCCTCTATAACGATTAATTATGAATGACAGTCGGTGTGTTCCAGTCTATGAAATACTGTATAAAGTCTATATGTGTGTCTGCCTCTATAATGTATTAATTGTGAATTGCAGTCGGTGTGGTCCAGTCTATGAAAAACTGTATAAAGTCTATATGTGTGTCTGCCTCTGTAATGTATTAATTGTGAATGGCAGTCGGAGTGTTCCAGTCTATGAAAAACTGTATAAAGTCTATATGTGTGTCTGCCTCTATAATGTATTAATTGTGAATGGTAGTCGGAGTGTTCCAGTCTATAGTGTGAACTGTCCCAGCTACCCCGGTCATCTTCCGGTACACCAGGAAGGGAGGTCCAGGGAGGAGAGGGTTGTCCGCCGAGTACACCGTGCAGGTCTTGAAGGCACAGGGGGACTCCCTCCAGCTGTATCTGAGCCCCAGGACAGTCTGCCCCTCCCCACACACCAGGGAGTACAATGTGATGCTGGTTGGGAGGGCAGACAGGATGGGGGTGGGGGTCCAGAATGTCTTGCTGGAGTTTTCTACAGAGCACAGAAACTGAAATTGATAAGAATAAACTATAATATGAAGTAAAATGTATGTTATACACTCAGGAAACTTGCATACACCAACTGTCATTATCAGACAAGTCAGTGAACAAATTGATGTTACTTGTCATAATATACCCAGTGCAACTATTCAAGAGTCGCCTGTGTAATATGGTCCTGAAAACTAATTTCTATAAGTAATGAAGACATATAGCCTGATACTGAATGTATTGTTATTCATACAAAGAAAAGAGATAAAGGCAATAGGTTACCGGTGATTGAAACAGTTCAATGGGTACCCTCTAGTATCATGTTCACATAAACTGTTGTAACACTCAAGATGTAAAGTCAGGAGAGCAAGCTGGCTAGTGGTGGATGAACTGCCGGATGTTCAGAACAGAGACCATGTGGAACATGTGTCATTACGGCGCCCTAGTTCATCCCAGACATGTTCCATTGGGCTAAAGTCAGGAGAGCAAGCTGGCTAGTGGTGGATGAACTGCCGGATGTTCAGAACAGAGACCATGTGGAACATGTGTCATTACGGCGCCCTAGTTCATCCCAGACATGTTCCATTGGGCTAAAGTCAGGAGAGCAAGCTGGCTAGTGGTGGATGAACTGCCGGATGTTCAGATCAGAGACCAGCAGAACACAATCTGCTTTGTATGGTTGTCTGGCTGAATGTGGATATTATTGGCGATAAAGTGTTCACCACTTACTTGACGTGACATCAGGAACTGGTCACGCAGGGCAAGGTTCACAAGGTACCTATCCTGACCCTAGGACGACCTGGTCTTTAAGCATAGGCAACTGTTCCTTTGGCCTGGTACCGCTGTTACAGCCTCCCTGTCCCACTCGGAGTGAGGTTACAATGTGCAGCCACCTGATTACTGCCCATTTAGGTCACCCCAATATTGGGTGAGCTGACCCTCAATATTCTATACTAAAATATTGACACATTGTTTCTCGGTCATTCACAATGGGGTTTGTCAACTTGTTGTGTTTGGGCAATACAATTTTGTGACCATGAACACAATGCTTAAATTTGTTAAAAAAAATTATTTACCTTCTCCTGCATTAATTTCCATGGTTCAAATATTGTTTTCATTAAAACAGCCACACACATTCAAATTGATGTGGTTTGAACAACTAGGGTTTTGCTTTTATATAAATTCTAGATTTGAATAGGAGACCTTCAATTGTATTGTCCTTACCTGTATGAGTGACTCTTCAACAGTTGTGTTGAGTATAATTTCTTCCTACTGATTGCGACACTGATACTGATTGGGACACTGATACTGATTGTGACACTGATACTGATACTGATTGTGATACTGATACTGATTGTGATACTGATTGTGATACTGATACTGATTGTGATACTGATACTGATACTGATTGTGATACTGAAACTGATTGTGATGCTGATGCTGATACTGATTGTGATACTGATTGTGATACTGATACTGAAACTGATTGTGATACTGATACTGAAACTGATTGTGATACTGATACTGATTGTGATACTGATACTGATACTGATTGTGATACTGATACTGATTGTGATACTGAAACTGATTGTGATACTGATACTGATTGTGATACTGATACTGATACTGATTGTGATACTGATACTGATTGTGATACTGATACTGATTGTGATACTGATACTGATACTGATTGTTACACTGATACTGATTGTGATACTGATACTGATTGTGATACTGAAACTAATTGTGATACTGATACTGATTGTGATACTAATACTGAAACTGATTGTGATACTGATACTGATACTGTTTGTGATACTGATACTGATTGTCACAGTGACATACTGGATGAAAATAATTGACTGCATAAAGACCTCAAAGTTGGTTTGTTTGTTGTTTAATGCTGCACTCCACTGCACTGCAATATTCCACCTATCTGACATCCATTTGTAAATAATCAAGTAATGACAATACAATCCAGTGATTGATATCATGAGCATTGATCCTTGCAATTGGGATACTATAACATGCATCAAACAAGTCAGCGAGCCTGACTACCCAATCCCATTAGTCACCTCTTACGACAGGCATGGGTTGCTAAAGACTTATTCTATCCCGGATTATCACAGGTATCCTCAAAGGTAATCATGGTAAGGAGGTTTCATCTACTCTCAGAACTATTTCATCCATGATAAATCAGATAAGAATGTGATTCAGCATGATATTGTTTACTTGGGAGCACTTCATTCAGTATTTACTCGATTCTTAGAAACCATATTCCTGATCTGCTACTGATTAAGATCAAACCTTGGCTAAATGTAGGTAAGTTCCTTACAGATATAATTGGAAACAATATATCCAGAGGGAACTGAGAAGTGTACTTTTTACCAATCTGGCAAAATATACTTGTGTTGACCCAATCTTCATATATATTCATCAAAACAAGTTAAAAAACACCTACAACTGGAAGGCTCTATGTTGCAATACCCACCAGCCATGACAGACTTCTATAACATATATCACAGGATAACCACAGGTCCTACTCAGGAACCACCTGACCCGAGTACCCGAGTTACCCGTCCCAGCCCTAATAGCCATGTGCAAAAAAACGGGTGTTCTTTAACTTCTTTTGAGTAATATCAATGTGTTAAAACTTTAAAGTCAAGAACAGAAACAAATTATTGCTGATGGATGGACAGACAGATAAATAGATGGATGTACCATCAATAATCTGTTCAGATTTTGTGGCAGATCCCCCGAGTTGTCTGACTATTTAACACTGACATACTGCGAACCGATCATGACACTTACTTCAAATCCGACCAGGTTGTTGTACTTGATCTTCTCTGTGTACATCAGGGTGAGGTTTGTTGTCCCTTCCTGTACGTGTGCTGGTAGAGGCCCCTGAGTTACCTCTCCTTGTTGGTTGTAGGCGATGCTCATCCCACTGACAGCCAGCCTGGCTACAACATCCTGCTTGTCTCTGGGGTGGATGCTGGAACGAAGATAATACACAGTCAAAACTACATGTCTGGGATCATCAATGAAAACACATGCCTACTGCACATCTACTTTGAAAGTGCAATGTCTTAAGATAGCTAAATAAGGAAGGGTATGTACTACTGGTCGATTGACATCATTTCGGGAACACACCACAACTATAAAACAGAAAGTCCAATGCCTCTACCTAGATGCATAAGGTCATAGGCAGTTCTGGATGAGGAAAACACCGGCCTAATGCAGCAGATCTCATACCCTAGCGAGACGAGCTCACGACATCTGTTCTACAAAGCAACATCAACTACTGAACTAAGCCACCTCTAACAAGTATTTACACAGTCTAACCTCTACCCTGAGCAACTAGTACAACAGACGATACAGAACACCACCAAGAAATCTCAGAAAGCCCCCTGTCAACAGTCTGCACCCTTTGTGATCAGCCTCCCCTACTTTGGAATAGCTAGCCACAAAATCCAGAGACACTTAAAGAAACAGGCCAACGTTGATGTAGTTTTCAAGAGAAGTCATACCATTCAGAACACAATAAAAGCCACAGGGAAACCACCATCCAGCCACAAGCTAGAACCATCAGGAGCTGGAATCATATAGCTGGAATATTGCTGAGTTGGGCGTTAAACAACAAACAAACAAACAAAACACCATACAAAGAAAGTCCCATGCCTCTACCTAGCTTACTTATGCTTGACTTTACACAAGTCAGTGACATCTGATTGCCAAAAAAACATCCCTAAAGCAGAACGCCTTCAAAACAGAAGGTCTCATACCACTTCTGGTGTACGTCCATGACACTCAACATCAGCCAATTAAATGCTAGAACTGTCAAGCTGCAAACATATGTCACTTAAACCTACCAGTTCAATGCCCGAACCCTAGTTTCATACATGCATTGATGGCTTCAACATATCTGCAGGAAAAATCATAGATCAAACTGACATCCACAATTCAAGAATCAACCTTGACCTTACACACAGGTTACTCAAGAACCTTTAAGGTTTTAGGTCCCATGTACCCTGAGAATGACATGAAAATGTGTTGTTCTTGTAAATATGGGTTTTAGGAGTGAACCTCTTGTAATAAAATTGTCTGTGATCAGTCCTCAACAATGAAAGGCAACATTCCTACTTATCAACAACTGATATGTTACCCAACATGTGGTCTTATCAAATAATTTCAATAAGAAATTTATATATATACTTACGATTTCATTTTTTATATCCAAATGCTACACATACCAAAGATGTGACTTGCTAGTGTCTGAGAAGATCTCTACCAGGATGATTAGAATAGGCAAAAACATGCAGCCATGATTGGGCATAAGAAACAAATGCAAATCATATCTTCAAATATCTTTTCTTCATCATAGTTGTCTTAAACAATCTTAAAAAACAAATAAGTTTTGCTTAATGCCAAGTACAAATCAGATAAGGTGCTGGATTTATTCCTACACTTTCATCCTTCATGTTCAGAAGAAATACACAGGATGATGGACAGACAATGTGCCTGCCATGCCATTCCTTCATTCAGCGTGACCTTCCGTCCTAATGAGCCACAAAGAATGTAGCTATATCAGACTTTCCCCTCCACCAACCCCATGTGTTCATTGTCCTACCTTCCATAGGGAGAGGCAAAGTCTGGGAGATCCATGGCAACAGACATGAAGACATTCTTCATCCTGGGGTTTGGCACAAAGCCGTAGTCAGCTGTCTGGTGCCACCGGATCTCCGGGAACCCAGGGTCAGCGCTGTCAGGACGATTGGCGGCCAACTAGAATAAAATAATTCTATTAATTGTATTTAAATTATTACTGTTGGCACAGGAAACAATCCACAATACATGTACTGCAATCTACAATTTGCATACACTTAAACAAGTTGTGAGATCAAGTGTGAGAGCGCAAATGTACCTGCACAAAGCCAAACGGAAATAGAGAATCTGTTTCTCCGTCGGATGCGTTGTGGAACTTCTGTCTCCAGTCATCTATCATGGCGGGGAACGTACAGTTGTATTTGTGGACGTTGGTGACCATGTTGGCCTCACCTAGAAAATACATTTTCAAAGGATGAGGAAATAATTGACGAATGACATGAATGACACAGGGTCACTAAAGCATTGAAATTGCTTATTGTATTCCATATTTAGACTGAAGAAGTAGTACACAAATAATGATCAAGCGGGGTTTTTGGTTCAACATGTTCAGTATTTGTTTTGTTTTTTCATACTGGTTGCACCTCTAAAAAAGTCAAGATTTTTTCATTACTACATAACATCCACCATATCTCTGTTGGGTTCTCTATAGTATTTATATAATGATAAAAATATGGTACTGTGAAAATATTGCATAGGTGATCTTTGCCATCTGTGTTCTAGTACTAGTAAAATCTAAACATTTTTTACATTTGTATACTTATCCTGCATTACTCCTGAATGCATTCACTGCTTACCTCAATAATTCACACCCTGAAATATGACACCAGTTGGTCAATAAACCGAAAAGCAGAAAAACACCATTACGGTAGGTTTGTTCAAATTTCAAAACATTTGAACATATGTATTAAAGAGAAATTCTTTATACACATTTAGTAATGTAAAAAATAATAGCTAATCAGCTAATTCTTTACTTACTACGTCATAGAGCCGGTGTTGACAAACAAGATTGTCTAATATTCTTCAACTGGCAGAAACTGAGCGCCTGCACATGGAAGTAGGCCGGCTCTGTATAGGGTTAGTTCATTATTAGCGTTGGGGGTTGGTAACCTGCTGGGCTACAACGAGAGGGCCAATACTTTGCACGCCTTCAATGCCCTCGAAAGCTACGTCGCCAAGATAATGACTAACAAAAACTGTGTCGAACCTTCAAAAACATCCTTCCGTGATTGTTCTAATAGAACAATTGCTGTGTAAAGCCATGGTAAAATCTGACAGAATCTCGGCAGAATCAGTTTCGCGATCTCATAAGCCTGTAGGACAACTGCGCATAACCATAGGGATATGGTGTTGCGACTAACTTCAGTCGTGGACGTAGAAGACACAGGTATAAATAACCGCTTCCTCGAACCACGCCTAGTCTTGGAGCGGCGGATGAAAACTCAAAGAGAAGTTCACCCTCATCTACAGCTCCCACAATAGTCAATATTAGTGGGATGGTGAAGGAACAATGGAGTTGGCCTGGTAGTTGATTTTGCAATAAAATCCCAGCACAACCCGAGATGTACTCTGTCCTGCATCCAATGCACAAAGTGGACCCCGGTGATGTCGCTCACATGTAGTTCGCTCACCTGTGCCGCTGTAGCTTATGCCAAGAGAAAACATTGTATCCTTGGTGAGATCATAAAATGAGGCTGCATAGAGGGGCTCGAAGGGGGGCCCGCGCAAAGCACCACATTCAAGTCTCAAGCAAGTGGACGGAACTTGGCCTTCTGATCCTCAAGCCTGAACGAGGGTAGTAGGGCCTGTAGTTTCGTGACCTTAGTCAACTTGTGATTTTCCAGATTGGCCAACACTGCGTTAAGCACAACCAAATACATAGTAATGGTGCTACCTTTCAAGTGTCTTTTGGTCTTTCATTACTCCTGTAAATAGCCATGGAGTCACTGGAATGCCAAATGGGAACACTACCCATCGGTAGAGAACCCAATTGAACTGGAACCTGCGGATTCTGCGGTCGGAGGGATGGATAGTAGAGACTGATCAAGGATCGAACGCATTGATGTTGGTTCTGAGCAGTCTCAATGTGGTGAGGCAGCAATAATGTGGACGCTTCAGATAATGGTCGTTGAATACGGAGAGATTGTGGATCATTCTCATCTTGTCTGAGTCCTTCATGGGTACCAGGCAGATGTGAGGATAAAACCCCTGTCTAAAGTCTGGGTAGTGAGCCATCTCTACAGCTCTTTTCTCCAACAGTATGTCTATGTTGGATTTTCTAAGTCGAGCTGTGGTCAATTGTCGGGTTACGGAAACTGTGATGTACAATGAGTATGTAATCATTCTTGAGACTTGCCTCTGCCATGCCCTTTCCCACGAAGTGGATACTGGTCTTCCTTGAGAGACACACACCTAGACTTATAATTGCCTGACATGCCAGCCCGCTGGGATAGATTAAAAGAAACTTGCTCTTGCTCTGAACAGGGAAGTAGATGACCAAGGTTGACGTAGCAGCCTGCGCTTGAAATCAGAGTCCCAGTTGGAAAGCCCTAAAGTCTGCGTGTGACAATTATCTCTGCCACAGCAGCCTCAAGATGAATTTTCATGTGGTCAACCTGACGCTGTAGGAAAATCACCATACATGTAGTTTGGAAATGATCTAATCGGATAGGGTTATCCTCTGATCCACCGTACAAGTGGAACAGCACTAAGCTGATCATGTGCCAGTTGCGTAACCGGGTACACTGTAAGCCCTTGGGCTGATGTCAATGTAGAGGCCTTGATTGGTACGCAGACGCTGCACTCGGCGCAGGTCAATGAGACAATGCTCATCGGTGATGACTGGATAATTGTAAAAACGTTCAGACCATTGTCCAATTAGCATTTGGGAATGGTGCTGACGCCTGAGCATGCATCTGCTGCACTGGATATGTTGGAACAGCGCTAAGCTGATCATGCGTCGTCTGCATAACATTGTACGCTGATGTCATTGAAGAGGATCTTGGGTAATAGTCAGGTGCTGTGCTCAGCGCAGGTAACTGAGGCACAGTGCTCATTGGTATTGACTGGATCATGGCTTGCATCTGCGCTACCCCCATCAAAGCGTCTTTGAAAATCAGGAGCAGTTTCGATACTCACAAAATCCTCCGGTATTGTTGATTTCGGTGGAGGGTGCACTTCTGTTACACAGTTACGCATGTCATATTACCCGCCGATGATAATGGCTGCGTGGTAATGACCGAGCCATATACTTTGCTATTCAGCGATTGTTTCATTCTTCTTGTCTCACGACGGGACTGATGCAAAATATGTTTGTGAGTAACCTGCCAATAAATTGTAAAACTCGTTGGAGAGAGATTTACACAAAAATTACATTTAGCATTTGGCGAGCACATCTGCGTGCATGCCGAACGTGGATAAAGATCTTTGGGTGATTTTTTTCCACGACAATCAGTACAACATGCAAACATAAGTTACGCAATTAAAGAATTGTTGATGAAACGGTACTGGAAGAATCCCGTAGAATTGAATAAGAATCTATCCGCAAAAATACGATTTGAAAGTGTATACAATATTTTTATATAGGCAACTCAATGTAACACCAAAGATATTTACATTTAGAGTTTGGCAAGCACATCTGCGTGCAAGCTAACCAACGTTGATGATAATCTTTGTAAGATTTTTTTCTTGTTGTCGTAAGGTAAGCAGTGAAAGCATTAAGGAGTAATGCAGGATAAGTAAAAAATATAATATTTTAGCTGGTTGACTTTGGTATCCTACAATAGAGTTTGGAGGCGGTAACTTTCATGGCATGCTCTGGATAGAATTGAATAAGAATCTATCCGCAAAAATACGATTTGAAAGTGTATACAATATTTTTATATAGGCAACTCAATGTAACACCAAAGCTATTTACATTTAGAGTTTGGCAAGCACATCTGCGTGCAAGCTAACCAACGTTGATGATAATCTTTGTAAGATTTTTTCTTGTTGTCGTAAGGTAAGCAGTGAAAGCATTAAGGAGTAATGCAGGATAAGTAAAAAATATAATATTTTAGCTGGTTGACTTTGGTATCCTACAATAGAGTTTGGAGGCGGTAACTTTCATGGCATGCACACTCCCTACCCCGTAATAATATTTTCCCTCCAAACAAGGCAACCCAAGTGTATTATTACGCTTATCCTCAGTTCTCAAATTTAAAGTAACATTTGGTCCTGGTGGGCTGAAGCGACACAAACATAACAGACTTTCCAGGTGTCAAACTTCCTCTGTACCATATTACCATATTCTAAGAAAACATCCTACATCAGGATAGGAAACATCCTACATCAGGATAGGCCACATCCTACATCAGGATAGGAAACATCTTATTGAAATCATAATATATACTGAGGCCTAAAAAGGGGGATGCAGTTCCATTTACCATATTCTCCTGTACTGATCTGAGTGATGCTGTCCTGATTGTAGGTGTTCAACTCTTTTTCAGTGGTACTCAATGTTTATGACAAACAAACAGCACACATGAAAACATGTACCCAACATAGCATCAGTTTACAATCTCCAACATAGGCAAATGGACAAAGTAAGAATAAGTAAGCCTCAAAACATACACTATTTAAAACATTTAAATCATATTCACTGTATTGGATCTTATAAGCGCACAGGACACTCTCATAATTAGAAAGGGGGTTTGCTTATTAGAATATCTTTTTGGTGAAGTTTCTTTTGAAAGACCGTAAATTTTATGGTCTGGCGAACACAGAAAACGATCGCTCTCAGAATTTTACCATTTTAGATACATGTATATATGCCTCTTACAAATAATCCTACGTGCATGCTTGCATGAATTAACTTACATATCTACATATTTGTGATAATACAACTCCACAATAATGATGAGTAAAAACAACGGTCGATGCCCTTTTTTTCCCAAGGAAGTACCAGTACTGGTAAACACCAGGTAAAGTTGAAAAATAAAATATAAACATCTGCTTTGTGTTGTTAATTTTCAAATATTACCTTATGTTACTGACCTTTATTTTTCGGTGATAATGATAATATATGTAATGTTTATTACCTCTTCTTTGTTTCAGCTACTCATTTGTAAAATTAACTTGAATATTTTTGTGTTATGTCGGCTGTGGTGCTGGTCATGACAGGTCACCAGTTCAACAATCAGTATATCCAGCTTGTGAATAATAATACTACATCCACCTACAAGACATTAATTATCTAGTATTAAATTAATCATTGTTTTCAGAAGTACCAAAACTTCGCATAACACCACCGCCACATGCTAATTTGCATATCATTTGACCGAGGTTTTCTCTCGTTTTTAAGCAAACGCTCAAATCAGACAAGACTGGCGTGTTACATATTGTTTTGCAAAATTATTTGCTACTGCAACTGCAACTGCAACTGCGAGGACATACAATCAACACTTCTATTTCCGATGACGGATCATGAAATACACATATATATACTGACAGCCTGAAAAGATACTAAAGAAAAGTCATATTGCATATTGTACACAAGAGATATATTTTCCAGAATTTAATTGCCCATAATTGAGGGTGCTTATAATACACGAGTTTGTATTATACACGAATAAATAAGTCAAATAAATAATAATCGGAAGGGGCAGTTTCTGGAATTGTTCACTTGCCAATATATAAGCAAATATCACTGTGTGCGCTTATTATGTGGAGTATGGTAATTTGTGGACACTCTGAACATTACAAATACGAAAAGATCTAAACTGATAGTTTCAAAATAGAACTAGAAGCATTAGAAAAGGCAAAATGTGCAAAATCACTTCATAGTCATTTAGATGTTCACAGAATATCTCATATGTCAGGATCCAGAAATATACACTACACTTCAGCATGTACAGGAGGCCCTTTAAATAAAATTCGGGAGTCTAAGGGTTCATATTACACATATAACTGACCTTGATACCAGATAGCTCCATATATGGTCATATTGAGGAGAGGGAAAACCATTCCATTCCAGAGATTGGAGACTGCGTCTGGTCCATTCAAAGGATTTTCAGGATCAACTTCCATATTCAGCCAATCAAGGTCCTTTGCTCTGTTAATGATCAGATCAATCAGTAAATCTACAGTGGGAAATGCCCTGATCACTATACAATTCCAGGGCTGTACTGGGATATGCCTTGATCACTATACAATTCCAGGAATGAACAGGGATATGCCCTGATCACCATACAATTCCAGGAATGAACAGGGATATGCCCTGATCACCATACAATTCCAGGAATGAACAGGGATATGCCCTGATCACTATACAATTCCAGGGCTGTACTGGGAAATGCCCTGATCACTATACAATTCTGGGCGTACTGGGATATGCCTTGATAACTATACAACTCAAGGGCTGTACTTGGATATGCCCTGATCAATATACAATTCCAGAGCTGTACTGGGATATGCCTTGATCACTATACAGTTCCAGGGCTGTACTTGGATATGCCTTGATACCTATACAGTTCCAGGAATGAACAGGGATATGCCTTGATCAATATACAATTCCAGGGCTGTACTGGGATATGCTTGTTCAATATACAATTCCAGGGGTATACTGGCAAATGCCTTGTTCACTATACAATTCCAGAGCTGTACTGGGATATACTTGTTCACTATACAATTCCAGGGCTATACTGGGAAATGCCTTGATAACTATACAGTTCCAGGAATGAACAGGGATATGCCTTGATCAATATACAATTCCAGGGCTGTACTGGGATATGCCTTGATCACTATACAATTCCAGGGCTGTACTGGGATATGCCTTGATCACTATACAATTCCAGGGCTGTACAGGGATATGCCTTGATCACTATACAATTCAAGAGCTGTACTGGGATATGCCTTGATCAATATACAATTCAAGAGCTGTACTGGGATATGCCCTGATCACTATACAATTCCAGGGCTATACTGGGAAATGCCTTGTTCACTATACAATTCCAGGGCTGTACTGGGATATGCCTTGATCAATATACAATTCCAGGGCTGTACTGGGATATGCCTTGATCACTATACAATTCCAGGGCTGTACTGGGATATGCCTTGATCACTATACAATTCCAGGAATGAACAGGGATATGCCTTGATCAATATACAATTCCAGGGCTGTACTGGGATATGCCTTGATCACTATACAATTTCAGGGCTGTACAGGGATATGCCTTGATCAATATACAATTCCAGGGCTGTACTGGGATATGCCTTGATCACTATACAATTCCAGGGCTGTACTGGGATATGCCTTGATAACTATACAGTTCCAGGAATGAACAGGGATATGCCTTGATCAATATACAATTCCAGGGCTGTACTGGGATATGCCTTGATCACTATACAATTTCAGGGCTGTACAGGGATATGCCTTGATCAATATACAATTCCAGGGCTGTACTGGGATATGCCTTGATCACTATACAATTCCAGGGCTGTACTGGGATATGCCTTGATAACCATGCAATTCCAGGAATGAACAGGGATATGCCTTGATCACTATACAATTCTGGGCGTACTGGGATATGCCTTGATCACTATACAACTCCAGAGCTGTACTGGGATATACTTGTTCACTATACAATTCCAGGGCTATACTGGGAAATGCCTTGTTCACTATACAATTCCAGGGCTGTACTGGGATATGCCTTGATCAATATACAATTCAAGAGCTGTACAGGGATATGCCTTGATCACTATACAATTCCAGGAATGAACAGGGATATGCCTTGATCACTATACAATTCCAGGGCTGTACTGGGATATGCCTTGATAACTATACAGTTCCAGGAATGAACAGGGATATGCCTTGATCAATATACAATTCCAGGGCTGTACTGGGATATGCCTTGATCAATATACAATTCCAGGGCTGTACAGGGATATGCCTTGATCACTATACAATTCAAGAGCTGTACTGGGATATGCCTTGATCACTATACAATTCCAGGGCTGTACTGGGATATGCCATGTTCATTATACAATTCCAGGGCTGTACTGGGATATGCCTTGATCAATATACAATTCAAGAGCTGTACTGGGATATGCCTTGATCACTATACAATTCCAGGGCTATACTGGGAAATGCCTTGTTCACTATACAATTCCAGGGCTGTACTGGGATATGCCTTGATCAATATACAATTCAAGAGCTGTACTGGGATATGCCTTGATCACTATACAATTCCAGGGCTGTACTGGGATATGCCTTGATCACTATACAATTCCAGGGCTGTACTGGGATATGCCTTGATAACCATACACTTCTGGGCGTACTGGGATATGATTTGATCAATATACAATTCCAGGGCTGTACTGGGATATGCCTTGATAACTATACAGTTCCAGGAATGAACAGGGATATGCCTTGATCAATATACAAATCCAGGGCTGTACTGGGATATGCCTTGATCACTATACAATTTCAGGGCTGTACAGGGATATGCCTTGATCAATATACAATTCCAGGGCTGTACTGGGATATGCCTTGATCACTATACAATTCCAGGGCTGTACTGGGATATGCCTTGATAACCATGCAATTCTGGGCGTAATGGGATATGCTTTGATCACTATACACAACCACAGCATACACATGTTGGATTCAAACCCATGAGTGGAGGTATTGAACCATGATGCACTACAGTATACACATATCAGATTCAAACCCACAAGCGGAAGCGCTAAACCAAGAATCACAATCGGGCATATTCATGTTGGATTCAAACCCATGACCAGCGCACCCTGGCACAACTTACAGATGCAACACTGCACATCACATTGATGCGTGAAAAGATACTGGCCACCTGAGTGAGTGAGTGTGTGAACGCGCGGAGGCAAGTATCTACTTACTCATATGTTTGTTCATCCAGTCCACACTTGGCCAGAGCATCTGTAGATGACCACGCCTCCACTGGTGTCCCTCCCCAGGTTGTGTCGATCAGGCCGATGGGGTAGCCAAGCTTCTTGTTCAGGGTCTTACCAAACAGCCAGCACACAGCAGAGAAGTACCGCCATGGCTTCCCACCAACTGATGCTGTTCAAATAGCAGGACAGGATTTATAGTGTGCTATAGCCATTACAACACAACACTAGCGGTTTACCAAAATACAATCAAGAACATAGTATAAGTAAAATCTAAATAGTTTTTACATTTGAAAAGCCTATCCTGCATTACTACCTTCATGCTTTTCTGCGTTTTTCTTGACAGATAGACGGAGCTTTGAGAGATCCAGGCTGCAGAAGTTGTTCCCACTAGTTGTGTGGCTCATACCCTCCCACAGCTATGATCACAATACTACTAGAAACGAACATCTGAAACACTTTGGGCACTTAAGTTGTAGTAACACAGGATAAGAATTCAAATGTAAAAAAATATTTTGATTTTACTATTTTTTTTAACTTATCCTGCATTACAACATTAATGCATTTTTATCAGACAGAACAGAGTGGGGCAAGTCGTTTCACTCGTTTCTGAGATCCTCGTTGCGTCTTGTAGCGACGAAGGAAAACAAGTCATGCTCTAACAGGGCAGAGAAGAGTTCATCCCTGTCCTTTGGAGCCCGCTATCGACAACAAGGAGGTAATAGGTGAAAGGTCTGTCCAGTTGTCCTGAGAGATGATTCTTAGCAATGAAATCCCTGCACAGCCCAAGATGAACAGCACCATGCACTCTTTGCTCGAACGGCACTCGGGAGACTCAGGGGTGTGTAACTCACAAACTCGAGCTGCTGTAGCAGTCTTGAAGAAAAACGACAAGTGGAAAATGGTTCAAAAGGAGCCATGCGAAGCAACTTCAAAACCATGTTCAAATCCCATGCCGGGGGTCAAAACTTGGCTCATTGATCCTGCAGTAGAAATGATCGCAGTATTGACTTATGTTCCGGATCTTGGTCATTCTACAATCCATAGGAAACGCCATCACCGAATTGAGGGCAACCAGGTATGTTGTGATGGTACTGCCCTTGAGGTGACGCTTGTTGCGGATAAAGGGGAGAAATTCAGACCTAAATTGCAGTGAGGCAGATTTGGGGTCCTGGTTCTTATCCTTACAGAAAGATTCAAAGTAACAACACTTGTCATCATAGAGACTATGTGGCGAAGGTCTATGTACTAATTAAGGCAATAAATAGCCTTAGCCGCTATGGCTCAGTAGCCCTTGGCACCTAAGGCCTGGTGAAGATTGACCAGGGGTTCAGATGAAACTTGCCTGGAGCTAGATATGGCAACATGCTGTGAGGATGTACCATCAGATCTGGCTACCAGGGGACCTTGAGGTGGTCATCACTGGCATGGTCTTGAAGGTCAATGAACCAGTTCAATGCCAGCAACCAAGTCGTGATCAAAAGCAGAGAGAGATTTTGAGACTCGAACTGGACGTTCCTCAGGTGCAGGTCTGTGGCAATTGGCTTGGAAATCCGGGTAAATAACAACGAGGCCATGGAAATGCCAAATAGGATGACCGCCCACTGGTAGAGGATACAATTGAAAATGAACCTGAGGTAACTGTGGAGGCGGACTTGACGGGTGTGAACGCAAATGTTGACAAAGGTGCGGACGAAAGACACTGCTCTAGTAGTGAAGACTGCGGTGTTGACTGACAGTGAGAGCAACTTTAAACTATAAAGTAAGCAAACGTTGCATGCAAAGAAAGACACAAATGCCAACAATGTGAACCTGGCAAGTAATTATAACTCAAAACTTTAAAAAGTTTACAAGAGAAATTAATCTAAGGAGTATACACTTAAAAAGCTCTGGACAGAAGTGTTAACAACACATGAACAAGAGCTTAGATAGAAATATGGAACATCAAAGCACAAGACTTGAAGACATGACAACGTGGCAAATCCAAGATGGCAGATGGAACAACACATGCATGATGTAAAGTGCGGCAAAGGGCCTAATTCAGGCGTAACTTAACCTGAAAGGACCACAATGACAAACCAGAACTATAATAAATACAATCATGAATGTATTGGGTAACCAAAAGGATAAGCAAAGGATGATATCTGGTCAGATGACTTGCAGTAATGTGATTATATGTGACATCGCCACTTCCGTTCAAGTGGTAGCTGTGGGAGGGTATGAGCCACACAACTGGTTGGAACAACTTCTTCTGCAGCCTAGATCTCTCACAGCTCCATCTATTATCTAAAATAATTTCTTCTATAATAAGGACACAAAATGTTACTAAAAATAGAGCAACTGGCATTATAGTTCACCTGGATATATAGGCAACAATTAGGAGATAAACCTACTGTGTCTTGAAATTTGATGTTGTCCCACTGTAGAGTAGATACCTACTTATTTTAATTTGGAACCGGTCGCTTTAGGGTAAATTACCAAATTTCATTCCTTTTTAAATAAAATTGACTGACCAATGGCCTTGAATAGCTTTTTCAATGTGGAGGAAGAGGTGGCCATATTGAAAATCCGATTTGAACATCTTGAACAAATTCAAGTGTGAAACCAATTTTAGGTGTGAAATCTTTGAGCACGGGCATAACGATGACAAACCTAGAAGCAAAATCAGGGCGACCTGGGTTGCGATTAGTGCTGGCAAAAAAAGAAAAATAACCCGAATTATCGTCTACAGGAAGAAATATTAATGATTAATGATATGAAAAATATTATTATGAAATAAAGATTAGACTTATCAAAACAGACTTGTTATTGTCAAAAACGTTTTTGTTTTGTTATATTTTAAATGTCTTCAAAGAAATCCCTGCATAAATGTGCCACCCGTCACCAGTGGAGTGAAATATGTGATTTCTTTTACAATTTTTTTGCGTATTCCCCAAAAGTTACTTTTCCGATATTTATCGATAACTGATTGATATTTAGTTAACGATTCTCAATCTCTATGATCTGTATCAATAGCCAGCCCTAGTTGCGAACCCACGATCATTTGTTTCTTGCACACATTACATGCATAAGGGACACAACATGCCCACGTTAAAATGGAGATAATGATTATCTGTACAAACATTTGCCAGCAACAGCCCACTGCTCCCAGATGCCGTGGAGGTCCGGGATGGGGAAGGATGCAGGGACATCGCCGACAGTGAACAAACGGATGTTGGGGTAGTTGCTGGCATCAGCCAATTCCTCACTTGCATTGAACCCCTGAATCAAGTAGTATATGATGCAACTCATATACAACTAGGAACAAGACTGATCTCACACTTTGCATTTCTCTTTCATTTTTTTAGTCTGAGTGGAAATGTGTCTGAAATAAAGGTTTCTAGCTTCTAAATTTAATTAATTTGTACATACCTTACATCGCCACGGTCACCCCCCAGATCTGGGTCATGCGTGCTATGCATGCTGGTTGACCTACTTGCGCTGATCACATGTCTATCCAAGTCAACTCATTCCCCTTCAAGGGCGCATGGACTAAGGAATTTGCGATGCGAGGATAGACGGATGGGCATATGTGTGAGATAGGATAAGTATATAAATATAGAATTTATCATAAAATTTTCAAATCTTTAAACTTATCATGTATCATATTTTGCATTGTATCCCACAGTTGGATGGTGGGGTATCCCTATCTCCTGAGGACAATAGGTTGGACCAGCTTGGCATCTCACTTCGGCAAACCCTTAATCATGCTCAGTGATTGAATCAATGGGCACTTAGCATGGGTTTACTGCAGCGAGAAGAAACAAGAAGAGGAAACGATCAACAATATCCACAAAAGGGTCATCTGTTACTCAACACACATACCTAAAGTAGAGGTGTGTGAAATAAGGGATCGGAACACTGAGATCAGTCGCATCTAGCAATGACATCAAGTTGAAGACCAAAGTCTCTACAGATGAGTGATTACATCCTTCAACCAGATACTCAGTCTGGGAAGCCCGAATGTATACAAATAATCATGACAAAGGTTGATTACAAATAGAGATAGATGTAATGTAACCAAAACAGGTCATACATCTCTCTCTCTCTCCCTCTCTGTGCAGGGCTTGAAGACCTGTTGTGTGAGTACACAGGGTCCAAACTGGTGAAGGCCTTGAACGTCCGTCACTGAGATGTCACGGAGGTAATGGATGCGAATACTGTATTGGATTCCCCCAAAACATCCCTCTTTAATTGTGTTCAAGGATTAATTACTGAGAAGTGCCATGGTGGAGGCGACAGCACAGGTTTCAAGGGCTTGAAGGATTACTGAGTGTGTCCAAAACAAGATTGTGGTACAGGATACTTCAATAGTAGCTGCCATGGAGAACAACCTCTTACGTAACCGACAAAGTTGTTTCGCTGCTTCCAGATAGATTTGAAGTGCATGTACCGGACACAGTGACACATCTTCGTGAATGTCAGGGTTAAAGACAGGAAATATTCTTTTGCCATTCGGACATTTGCATTTTGGTCACGCCGACCTAAACTCAAGTGTTATTTTCATAACAATATATATAGTATTCCCTTGCTCTTGTGCCCTTCAATATAGCACTCCCTCGGTTATAGCGCACTGTAACACATGGCTCCCAAAATTTACTTACATTTTTCATAAACATCAAGTTTTACACTGACACAATGTTTTATCCCCATCTAAAAAAAAACCAGTTGATCACCTCAAGCACGTAACAACTGAAATACCTGTCAACAAATCAAAACTGAAGTATGTAACATAATCACATTATTTTACTATCTGGTTATAAAAATGACTTCATTGAATATCTGGTCTTATGTTTGTAATATATTTTATTAATTTTATTCAAAACTTCATTCAATATTGTTTACATTAATTGGTTTAAGGTGGACGTCAATGGTGGGATGGTGAATAGTCAATCGGGTTGATGCCTGATATAGAATGCCGGTTGGGGGATCCCCAAGTCTTGAGCTGTTGATGATAGGATCGGCTTCGAGAGTGGAATCGTGGAAGCTTTAGACATGTCGTCTGTGAGAAAAATATCAGAGACTCCCTCATCGTCTACTGTAATCATGGGGCCAGTGGGATTCCTAGTATCCTGGCATGCCGGTTAGGGTGATCTGTCTGATCTCGCTTTCTTGATCAGTGTTTTCTTGGTTTTCATGGATTTTTCTGAGACAATCTGACACCCAACATTTATGCATGTACAGTACCGGATTCATCTGGTAGATCAGAACAGAGCTCGCAACACTCTGAATAACTGCATAATCCACGACAATCTGAACACTGGGAAATAGGGTCAGACGGAGAGAAAACAGGCGCAGACTGGTTGTCGTGTGGACTGCTCGTCCATAATGAAGAACAACTATCCCAAACAAGGATCTAAGTGAAGATCTGGACAAAAAGGCATCGGTATTCACAAAGAAAAAGTACACCGATTGTGAAGCCGATGCAGGCAAGATGACGAAAAAAAATGTGGAAGATCGCTTGCAAGGGAAATAAAACCAAAATGGATTCCCTAGTATTAATAACAGCACATCACCACTGTGTGGCGATTTGAAAGAAAATTAGTTGACTGGGATAGACACGTGATCAGCGCAAGTAGGTCAACCAGCAGCATAGCATGCAGGGCCCTGATCTGGAAGGTGACCTTGGTGATGTGAGGTATGTACGAATTAATTAACTTCAGAAGCTGGAAACCTTTATCTCAGATATGTTTCCACTCAGAATCGAAAGAAGAAATGGAAATGCAAAGTGTGAGATAGAAGAAGTTTAAATATTTAGAGTATCATAGACCTGCTTTTACACATTTTATGCCCTTCTAGTCATCAAAAAACTCCCTTTGAGAAAGACATAAATATTACCTGTAATTTGTATTCATGGGGATTGTATTTCTATCATTTTGAAAAGAAAATAGCATCTATCTTAACTTACAAAGAGAGAATGTTCTAAAGATTATTCATAAATAAGATAATTTCATCTTCTCACCATGCGAACTGCAGACCTCATATGTTGAACTACGCTATTAAATTTTATTGTTTTTATCTCAAACATGTTGAAGAGGTCGCTCTAAAACTGGTGTGGCACTGTTACCTTCCCTCATTGTCACACACATACCTGGATCATAGTAAACTGCATGTTGGACTGCCCTGAGCACACCCAAACATCTCCAAACATCACGTCCGTCAGTGTGATCGTCTTCTCGCTTGATATGGCAGTGATGGTGAAGGGCCCGGCACTCGACTCTGCAGGCAGCTTCAGCTTCCACGCCCCATAGTTGTAGAGCGGGTCAAGGTACACCTTGGTTGTGTACGTCCCTCTCTCGCTCACCTTGATGATGATCTCCTCACCGATGTTGGCAGCGTAGCCCCAGATTGTGGCTCTCTTCGGTGCCTTCTGGAGAACCATGTGACTGGAGTAGTAGGAGGCAAAGGCAAAGGGCTTGGTAAGGCCAGGAAGTGTGGATGCTGCTCTCTGCTGTTCTTGGGATGCTGAAATGGCAAGAAATGATATAGTTTCTTTCTATTAAATTATTTGGTTTACAGACCCAAAAAAATTCACCTATTTGGAATGATATTACCATTTTAAGAACAATCCATTTTTTTCTATTCACAAGAAACTTTGAAAGGAAAGATGACCCTAACCCTTGTAAACCTGGCTAACTCTAAGGTTAGTAAAGATACCAGTACATTTGATAGTATACAGACGGCCTGAGATCATAAAGGTTTTGACAGTCACGACATGCCAGGTCAGTGAAGCGTGAGTCAGTCAGTGAGCCAGCAGACAGACTTCGGCTGGTGAAGGGGTACATTTACCTGAGCATTTAAAGGATTCTAAAGAGTAGCTGAGAGCCGCGATATGGTCTAACAGTCAAGACATGTCTTGGCAGTCGGACCCTATGGCCCTCAGCTATGGGAAGGGATGTTTGATTTGTATGTGTTTTCCATGTTCATAGGAAAGGGGTAGCTTCCCTAACTCTGACACAACTATGCTACAACCCCCAGCTTGAGTCAATCACTATAAACTGCGCAGGTGAACTGCAGACTTGTTGATATTGTGTTTAGAAACTTCTTTTTTAATACTCACTCATAATGTTTTCTTCCAAATCTTTTGACATCTCGACCACATACTGTCCTGAGACCGACCAACATGTCACAACAACGACTCCAAACACAAAAAGGCTTTTGAAGAACGACATTGTCAACAATGCACCACGACGACCAGTTGAACAGAAAGATGCGCGTACCACTGTCTGTACTCTCTCAACCGAGCACTTTGTGGAAATCGACCTCAAAGCCACTGTCCTCGCGAGTCTTACTTAGGGCGACAAGGGCGTAGCATAGATCTACCGTGTAAACAAATACACTTGTTGCACCCGGTGCAGATTCGTTACCCTAAATGAGCCCACTTAGCAGGTTAAACTGTTTCGTGCTTGGAACATTGACAATATATGTCACATGTTCCAATCAATTCTGCATTGCGGCTTTACCCGGTCGTAACGCGTAAACAATGGACCACTCGTGACACTGAGTGTTTCGTCAAAGAGGGTGCTTTGGAGTGGCCTCCCCTTCGGTGCGTATTTATGCGTTTGCTCCTGCTCTGAAACCGTGTACATCGGTTAATAATGTTAATAAATTAGATGTTTTCGAATGTTTTTATGTCGCATTCAGCAATATTGCTACTATACGACAATGCCCCAGAAATGGTAATATGGCTTGGAATAGAAAAAACAAACAAACTAGTTTTAAAGTGTCAACAAATATATTAAAGTACACAAAAAGACAAAGAATACATATTACAGTGCACAGACGTATGACGTATTAAAATTGACATAAATATAATTATGTTTATCCCATCAGCTGTTTGCGACACAGAAAGGCATAGAGGTTATGATCTTGAGAGAATAAAACTTCACGATGTTTCAGAGCTACTTCTGGCTTCTTCATCAGGTGAATGTTGAGTAGGTGCATAGAGTTAATATATATCTACACAACACAAGGTGGGATGAATGTACAAAGATAACAATATAATGACAAAGCCAATGGGATAGGATCAATGTACAAAGATAACAATATAATGACAAAGCCGATGAGATAGGAGTAATGTATAAAGATAACAATATGATATGGAAACGGGTTGTCAAATTATTCAGTCGCCTCAGGCTTAGCTGCAACGATCTTAACGCATATCAGAGTGACAGATATATTTTTGATGCTATATAAATTTTGTTTTTTACCGAAGATGCTCTTTACATTTTTGTGTGTGTGCGTACAAATGACTATATTCTTTAAAATGAAATGTATTTTCACCAGCATGGCTACTCTTTGCAAATAGTGCCATAAGGAAATGAGTATCTGAGTAAGGAAGATACAATCCAAATATTCTATTCAATTCAAAACCTCATATAAAAAGCTAGCAGATATTCAATTAAGTAAATGAAAATTTGATATAAATAATATAATATAAACTGCAAATATATTTAGTATATATACACATCTAGCTTGACATGTATAATTCATTTGTTACATTCAACCTTCACTGATGTATTAACTGTATCATGTGTTATGTGTAATGTAGCGTTATAAACAGCGATTTGCTTGTTTACCAATCAATTTCATATTACTGTGTGAAAATAAATATGTTTAAATCATACCAATATTATAATGAAGCCAATGAGATTAAAAGGAGAGAATTAATTAAGTACACTGAAGGGGTGATAATGACAAGGAGCTGGCTATGGTGACACAAACAATAATATAAGGCAATCAAGATGTCAATAGTGGTTGATGATGTGATAAAAGCACAGTGGAGTACACAACTTTGTCTCTGTCAATGGCCGACTTCTTTCTTTGGATTTCGATGTTTTCTTGAAGTTTCCTCTTTTTCCAATGACTGATGTTGGTATGGAGAATCTTGATTTGTAACCTGGAAATATGGTGGTCAGAGCTTTTGATGAAATGTTTCGAAAGGGCAGATTTCATGTCAGATGTTTCGACAGAGGTCTTGTTTTCTTTTATTCTGATGAAGGTATGATATATATACTTACGAACTAAACCAGCATCAAGAGAAGGTGCTTAGATTTATCTCACTTCTATTCTATGTTTGCCTGTATTGTCATATACTTGATTTTAGTAGTCTCTAAATGGTGTGACTATTAAATATCCACAAACAGGACCAGGGGATGGTGGGATAACCTTGTGGATATCTCGTTCGCTCGTCACGCTGAAGATCCGGGTTCGGTTATCACGTGGGTACAACGTGTAAAGCCCCGCGAAATCTATTTCCCTCGATGTTTCTAGAAAAAGCGGCGTGAAACTATACCTACTCACTCACTCACTCACTAATGTACGGCATGTAACAGCCAGTGGCTCTTAGTTTTAGTTTACTGGAACACACGTCTTGCATATGAAATAGATGCAAGTTGAAAACAACAATACAGTATACAGTCAGTCCGTACAGTATACAGTCAGTCTGTACAGTATGCATCAATCCGTACAGTATACAGTCAGTCCGTACAGTATACAGGCAGTCCGTACAGTATAGTCAGTCCGTGCAGTATACAGTCAGTCCGTACAGTATAGTCAGTCCGTACAGTATAGTCAGTCCGTGCAGTATACAGTCAGTCCGTACAGTATACAGGCAGTCCGTACAGTATAGTCAGTCCGTACAGTATACAGTCAGTCCGTGCAGTATACAGTCAGTCCGTACAGTATACAGTCAGTCCGTACAGTATACAGTCAGTCCGTACAGTATACAGTCAGTCCGTACAGCATACAGTCAGTCCGTACAGTATGCAGTCAGTCCGTGCAGTATACAGTCAGTCCGTACAGTATACAGTCAGTCCGTACAGTATAGTCAGTCCGTGCAGTATACAGTCAGTCCGTACAGTATACAGTCAGTCCGTGCAGTATACAGTCAGTCCGTACAGTATACATCAATCCGTACAGTATACAGTCAATCCGTACAGTATACAGTCAGTCCGTACAGTATACATCAATCCGTACAGTATACAGTCAGTCCGTAAAGTATACAGTCAGTCCGTACAGTATACAGTCAGTCCGTACAGTATACAGTCAGTCCGTACAGTATGCATCAATCCGTGTAGGATTCATTCATTTTCTATTTAATCAAACAAAACATAGCAACGGTAATTCACGTCAAAATGCGTTTGACTCTTAGATTTTGCGTTTCGGGGGCTAATTTGGACTTGTTCAAATGAAGAGAGGGGTTGTTTCCGGAAGAAAACCGACAAACGAATCATTCAATATATGTTTCTTCAAACTTCGTACATACATCAGGTATCTTTTGAACAAGGAATGTCTCAGGAATTAATATTTTCAGCCTTTGCGCTTCAAACTAGAAAGGTGCACATTGCTATTATTGCTTAGGTGTGAGTTCACTTCACCGATTTAGAGGGCTTTTCACATGAAGGTCGAGTGTTATTAACCAATTGAATAGTACAATGTTACACCCCAAAAGAGGGGACCACAACGATTCTTTCGTTGTGTTACAACCGTTTGTAACGCCAGTCTTAGTGTCGATTAGAATTATTAAGATCTGCGTAACTATTATCCTGCATCTGTTTTATTATGATAATACCCGGGCTGCATTTCTCTCATCACCACATTAGCACAGCATTTCTCTCGCTCATGTATTATATCACCAACTTAGCACAGCATTTCTCTCATCACCACATTAGCACAGCATTTCTCTCTCTCTCATGTATTATATCACCAATTTAGCACAGCATTTCTCTCATCACCACATTAGCACAGCATTTCTCTCGCTCATGTATTATATCACCAACTTAGCACAGCATTTCTCTCATCACCACATTAGCACAGCATTTCTCTCTCTCTCATGTGTTATATCACCAACTTAGCACAGCATTTCTCTCATCACCACATTAGCACAGCATTTCTCTCGCTCATGTATTATATCACCAACTTAGCAGCTCTGGACTTAGGCAGGGGGAAAATATGTCGCCATGTTTATTGTCTTTCTTGATTGAAGATTTAGAATTAAATTTGCAAGAAAATTTACAGTCTGGCACAGACATAAGTGATCTTATGTTACTTTTATTACTCTTTGCTGATGACATGGTCCTAATGAGTAAAACCGCTTCTGATCTGCAGTGACATCTTAACAAACTTGCTCATTACTGTAATAAATGGGGGTTGACTGTCAATATTGACAGAACTAAAGTTGTAATTTTCAGAAAATCATTTCAACCATTAGACATACAGTTTTTATATGAATCAGTGTCACTAGAAATAGTAAAACAGCTTAATTATTTGTGATTTTTATTGGTGTAATCTTACTCCAGCTATCAAAGTGTTATCAGAAAAGGGATTAAAGGCATGTAATGCTTTTATAAGTGAGATATACAATTAGATGTGAAATCTTCTCTTGAACTAATCGACACGTGTGTTACCAGTATTACATTATAGTTGTGAAGTATGGGGATGGAACAATGCTGATTGTATTGAGAGAGTACATCGTAATTTTTGTATTCCACTTCTTTCCACTGTTCTTTAAACATACTCATCATAGGTGCAACAAGTTAAGATGTTTAGTAGTGAACCCTTGGCGTGCCGAAATCCAATGACCATGGGTTCGAATCCCAGATTCGACATGAAGATGTTTCTTGGTCTGTCGATACCATATCAATACATGTGTACGTGTCTAGGACCTGCATCACTTCAGCTTTTCCTCCCACACGTACTGACAAACGGATGTACTGTCAGAAGCGGCACTCAGAAGAGAACTCACCCACTCACTCATCATAAATGATTAGTATATTACTACACGCATATTGAACAAAGCTATATAGAAGCACACACCAGTTTTACTTTTACAGTATGATTTTATTACATTTCATAGATACATATATATAAAACTGGCGCGATACACATCAGCTGGAAATATCCAGGCTATTCGGCGAGTGGATGGCTACCGCTCTCCTCCCTGTAGATAGAGGGAAAATTGTGAATTAGGTAACTGTGATACAACGTTGAGTAGATGGCGTATGTACATAGGCACTTGCCAATGCCAACTTTCTCAAAAGTTTGCCATAATAAAATCATCAAGGACTTGTCTTATATACTCCTAACATGACCTTCAGAATATTCAGATGCCATTCTGTAGTAAAATCTCAACTGTACAGAACGTGGAAAATTCAGGATACAATTGGTCCTCATTACATATTCTAATATACATATCGTCTCAAATGGATCAATCGGCGATTTGGTTGTTTGCGTGCCATCGAACCCAGCGTTTGGTCCAGGCTGGATAAAATACTGACCGCCGTACTATGGTCGGAATATTGCCAACTGCGGCTTAAATAAACAAGCTAAACTATCCCCTAGATTCTCTATCCTTGCATTGGCTGTATGCCCAACAATTTGATTTAGACTGATTATCGTTGGTTCCAATATTTATATATTATCCCTTGTTCTGAGCAGGATAATCGTGCTTGTGGTACACGTCCACGACATACGTCTTTGTTGACTTTCCTCTTACATTAGCCGGGGCGGTGGAGTAGCCTATAGTGGTTAAAGCGTTCGATCGCCAGCCGAAGGCCCGAGTTCCATTCCCCACATGGGCCGTGATATTGCTGGAATATTCCTAAAAGCGGTGTAAAACCGTACTCACATCACGCCGAAACACCTTTCATGATAGCACTGAAATACTGTTCAAAGTGGCGTCAAACTCAATTCACTCACTTCTTACACACCTCTCCTTCCTGCCTGTATTCAGCGGTGCCAGAACAGACATAATCTGGGCTTGAATTTGGATCAAATGACATATCTTCGTTAGTACAGGCTCCTGGGACTGTATGCACAAATTGATCTTATACACCTTGGAAGTCCATGTTAAATGATTTAAGATTGCTTTATGCATGTGGACAAGTATACGTTGAGAGAGATGCAAAGAAACGGGCTCGAATCCACATTTTGTCTGGTGCATTGTGACGAGTCTAGCTGAACCATAGTTGATATGAACGTTTTGGTGAGGTGAAATTTGCATTTACCATATACATATGTGTGTGAGAGAGAGAGAGAGAGAGAGAGAGAGAGAGAGAGACTAATGCTGGTTTTATAGTGCTAATAAGCTGAGATGCCATGCCGCAGTTTAACATGGATATCAGACACAGTACATACTGACTACGAGCCGACCAGTACTTATCCCCTTAATGCCAAGCACAGGGTAACAAGTATCGTCCTTTAAGGTCTTAGGGTAGGACGCGGTCAGGGATCGAATCCCCGACCTTCCGCTTTCTGGGCAGACGCTTTATCCACAAGAATAAACGTTAAAGAAATCGTTATATGCAAATTTCCATCACAGAACGCGCTGTCTGATTGTTGAACAAGATGTCTGTTAAGCAACAAAAGTCGCCTGTAACATAACAAGACAAAAACACAACGGAGCTAGAAAGTCAAGACAATCTTTAATAGTTAATTATCATTGTAATTGATTTAATGAAGTAAAACCCAAAAGTTAAAAAACTTGTCCGAAAGTGCCAAAATGTGTAACTCATAATACGTATGATGCAAATAGCATACAACATTCAAAAGTACAAAATGTCCGAAAGGTCCGAAAAGTTAAAATACGCCCGAAAGGTCCAAAAATGCCAAAAGCATTAAAAAAAATTTTTTTATTAATGAGATGATTAATTATTATATGGCGCAATGTCCAAGAGGTAGCAAGACTTCACTCTAAGCGTCCACCGAACACTCTCCTCAAGAATCCAGACACACGTGACAGGAAAACTCTAACTGGGGACTGGGTCGGGGTGTCGTCATCATCGAGGTTGATATCGATGAAGTGAGGGGCATCACGGAGGACGGAGGCTGAGAGAGGGGCAGGGTCGGAGATAGAGGTTGGAGGGACGGGCAGTTGTAACAGGGGTTCAAGGATGGTCATGTATCTCCCAGTTGGATGCTGACAGGGAGGGAGAGAAGGACATGTAGAGAGTGACAGATGGAAGTAGAAAGAAGAGAAAGAGGAGGGAAGTTGGAAATAAATTGATTAAGCTATACTTAGATATGTTACAAGAACGTTAGTGATTAATGTATGTGGTAATTAGTACTAATAACTGCACATAGTTTCCAAATCAATATCTAAGACACCCACTTGGCGAGGAGGGGCGAAGATGTCAAAGTTCAAGGGGAACCTGATCACGAGGTCAACAGCTGTCGGGAAAGAAGGAATGAGTCATAAATAACGATACACCAGACATGATAGACAGTATAAACGATTTAAAACAAACAAACAAACATTTCAAGTTATCTTGTTGATTCACCGTCTTCCCAATCAGGTAATATATTACAAATTAAAAAGAGTTGATCTTAACACCCAATAGAAATATGATTGACCCTCATCAATACGAAATACATAAAGCAATGGTTTCAAAGTCAGGATATACATGTGGTACACTAAAACTACCGTCACGGGGTGTCAATGATGAGGTGAAATTACATAAAATTACACAACATTTCGTATGTAATGTACAATCATTGTCTTATCAGATACACTGCTTAGGGGCATTTAGAGTTTCAACAGAATTATCTAAGATGTGTGATTACATTATATGACGGAATTGTTTACTAAAGGTTAGGCTGAAGGCAGAAATATATAGTGTATAGGTGTAGACCGGACATGAAGACGTATAACCGTATACAAAAAGTGAACATAATTACATGTAGTTGTGTTGTACACAATGGCCAGTAATTTAGCAGGGAAAATATCGCCCAAACCAATGTGCCGTCTCACCAATGTTATGTGACCAATAGAGAGTTTTTATTTCATTTACTAACTAACAGTTTTCGTCCACTAGTCCTTATAATGATAACATATAGCAAAACCCTTAAAAAGGGCAAATTTCTTCTAGTCCTTATGATACCTTTACCATTGGGCAGTTTTGCAAGGACTATAGGACTAGTGCCAATTTCTAACGCTGGTGATTGCAGTAATGACCGTGTTCTGGAAGTTTCTGTTCTACCATACTTCAGATTATGATAAACAAGTCATAATACAGAGGACTGTAACCGCAATAACTACTTTAGAAATAAAGAAATACCTTGGGAGTATGAACTCATAGTGTTCATAAACTGAGACGAGCACTATGTGAGACAAACAGGCAGAAAAAGCGGCAATATGATAGCAGTATGATAGCGACAATAATGGCGATATCAGTAGTGAAACTGTCGTCATGACGACGTCATAAATCTCGCGAGACTGTCATGGCACCACGTGACGTTAACAGCCTGACTGGTTTTCTTCCTGCTCTACGCAAGTCGGGATCTAAGTCATGCTTCCAGATGACCGATGGTTCTAATTTAATGAGTTAATACATCTATTTAGAATGAATGTACATCTGATATCAGAGCATCAAAATCTAGCCGCATCAGTATTAAGTTAAACATGTTTGGAACACAGACCTATTGATGTTCATGATACTTTTAGATTTTGCTTCTCCAGGTCAAGGAAACTGGACTTCGTTCAAATGTAGGTAGGGTTCATGAACGTGTCCATGTAAGTTAATACATACATAGGTTCTTTCATTGAATGTATCGTGTAGAGGACTACTTCAGTTTAGGATTATCGCCTTTTGGGCAGCCAGGTCGTGTGCGTGGTGCAGTTTCTTTCTCAATGACTATGTATATTTGAGCATAGATCTTGGCTTTACTGGCTCTGTGTTAAGACCAAAAGCTAAATCTGTGGGAAGTTTTAGGTGACGTACAACATAAGAAAGTATGGAGAATGCTTGTTGGTCCCATGCCTTGAACAGTCATAGGCATGCATTAAGGGCGCGCAACCTGTGTCTGCAATCTTTCTTAGCTTCTGGATCCAGTGTTCCCAGCATGTTCAAAAGAATTCTGTTAAATCTTTCACACAGGTCATTATCCATTGCGTGACATGGTGTAGTGGAGGACTTGTCAATTCTTAATAGCTTACAGAGCTCGGTCATCAGATTTCCAACAAAGTTATCAACTTTGTCGGAGTGGATCCTCCTTGGTAACCCGTAGTGACTGACGATGTTTTTTAAGAATAGATCTGTCGTGGTTCTGTCCGAGGTGTTCTTGAGGGGTAAACTTGGACGTATCTAGTAAACTGATCTGTGATTACTAGCACGTACTGATGTCCTCCCTTTGATGATTCTAAGGTAAGAAAATCAATGCACTAGAATTTGGGTTGGCTCGATGTTTACTAATGGGTCTCTGTCTGTATTCGCTTTCTTCTTGACACATCGTTCACGAGTCCTTAGATGGATGTTAACATCACGTGCCATGCCTGACCAGAAAATAAATGTTCCTTCAGCAGGGAAAATGTCCTGTCTCCCCCAGGGTGTCCGACACTGTCGTGCAAGCTGCTGAGGGCTGCTGAACTACATCGAGAAGGTAAGACTAGCTGTTCCTGTTCAGTGTCCTCTGGACAGGTGATTCTGTATAAAACTCTATGCTTGATCCTAAAATGATGGCAGCCTTTTAGCAGCGAGGTCATTTACTTGTCCCAAATGCTAAGTGTCCTGTCGGGTTTCTGTCCAACTCCAAGACTGTCCATACTTGTGGCAATAGCTGGGTCTCTACGTTGTGCGTGACTCCATTCCTTGGCATTGTGTACTTGTCATCAAATACTTCTGAGTCAGCATCACCTATAACATCAGCAGACATGCAAAATGTTTCCTACCAGCTAGGGACCGGAACCTTGTTACATATTGCACTCACTATGTTAGTTCTACTGCGTCAGTGTCATCTCTCTTAGGTAATCTTGACAAAGCATTGCTTGGTATCTACGTTACATTTCTTTGGTCTGTAGGTGATGGTGCAGTTATAAGGCCGCCAACCATCCGTGTCCTGTTGCATCAAGGTGAGCTGTCGTCAAGACATAGGTGAGTGGGTTATTGTCCGTGAGTACAACAAAATTGTTTCCATAGAGGCGATCGTAGAATTCTTTCAGAGATGACCCACTTCAAACATAAGAATTCCGACTTGTGCTGAACAATTCTTTTCTGATCTACCCAACCCTCGGCTGGCATGGTCAGCCACTCGTTGTTTACCTGTCTTTTTGGTACAAAACAGCTCCAAGGCCGTGTGTACTTGCATCCGTATACAGTTGAAATGGTTTGGAGAAATCAGCATATCCCAACACAGTCGGGCGGTCGGGTAGCCTAGTGCACAGTTTAAGCGTTCGCTCGTCACGTCGAAGACCCGGGTTCGATTCCCGACATGGGTACAATGTGTGAAGCCCATTTCTGGTGTCCCCCGCCGTGATATTGCTGGAATATTGCTAAAAGCGGCGTAAAACCATACTCACTCACTCATCTTCTACGGTTAGAGAGGGGAGATACACCAATTCCGCTCCTGCTTAGGGTGTTCTTGAACATTACAGAATCCTTTCGACGACCTTGGTGTGTGGTGTTACTCGGTTATTAATAACTACATTTTCATCAAAAGGTGGGGATATAATCATAACCCCTCCCTTGCAAAATATTCTCAATTTTGGATATCACGGGGAACAGACGTGCATTTGAGAATTCTTATATATGCAGAAGACACGTCAAGAATTATTGCCAAGAGTGTATTTCACAGAGCAAAGCATTCTGTCACCTCGCCATTGACTCATTCACCGAGCTGCCTGCCTGTACATTACATATATCTTTAATATATATTTATGATAATACCCAATTACCATAACGGCACGAACAAGGGTTAAATAATGCTCATTTATACTGAGTAAGTTATATGCTGTGTATATCAAGCATAACGCAGATATTTGGTTATTGGATGCCTAATTGACTTTTACAATAAACAAATCCAAATGGAAATGAAAGTGTAAAAAAGTACGTCATTTTCGAAAAATAATTGTTTCCGTGTGAGGAATGAAACAGTATTATGCTTTGATTTGAGTCGCGTTTGCTAGAACCAGATACTGGCACATGTCGACCCGTGAAATTCCGGGGTATAATACGAGGTCTTCAGCAATCAATGCTTGTCGTTAAAGGCGACTATGCTTGTCGTAAGAGGCGACGAACGGGATCGGGTGGTCAGACTCGCTGACTTGGTTGATGCATGCCATCTATCCAAAGGCGGGGATCGGCGCTCATGATATCGATCACTGGAATGTCTGGTCTGGACTCGATTGTTTACAGACCGCCGTCATATAGCTGGAATACTGATGAGTGCATCGTTAAACAACAAACAAACCAAACCAAACATTTCATGCCATTATCCTGGAAGCATCATAAAATTGCATTGTAAATTAATACTCTATATGCGCATGGTAATCGACCGTGATACACTTAGAGTTGTGATATTTCACATGGCCAAGTACCAGCTGATCATGCTCAATCTCACGATACACCCGCCAAACAAAACCGCACGAATTATCTCCCCTGATGGAACAAGTTTGCTCAGGAAACATTTATGATTCTAGGTGTGTGTTCATTGCCAAAGCTTCTATTTAGAGGTCTGATTTCTGGTACAATACGTCATTTTCTTCAAGAAATGGCTATATGTACGATGGCCCATAAAGGACATGGAGTCTGTTTTTCAATATTTTGATATTTCACTTACTTTTATCATAACCTTTTGCAAATTAACACAATTTGTCATACAAATATGTGATAAATCATATATAAAAAACAACCGAAAACATGGAAAATGTACTTTCAAGTAGCTATTGAATCGCTGAAATGTAAAGCGAAAATGTCAAAAACTAAAATGAAAATGTAAAAAAAACAAAAATGTCAAAAACAAAAGCAAATTATCAAAAACTAAAATGAAAATACAGAAAAGTATTTCCACCGCGGTGGAAATATTATCACTGAGGTGGAAATATTATCACCGTGTTGTAAATAGTTTTCACCACGGTGGAAATTCTTTTCTGTATTTTCATTTTAGTTTTTGACATTTTCTCTTTTGTTTTGGTCATTTCCATTTTAGTTTTTGACATTTTCACTCCACATTTCAGCGATTCACTATCTACTTTATACATGATTTATCATATATTTGTATGACAAATCGTGTTAATTTGCAAAAGTTTACGATAACAGTAAGTGAAATATCAAAATATTGAAAAACAGACTCCATGTCCCTTATGGGACACTGTATATATGAATACATTTAACTACAACATAGTGTGACCTATGTTTAGATTCGGTGTGACCAATATAGAAAATCTGTTTCTTGAAGAGAATATATCCATCATGAGTTTTGGGTTTCTTGTTTCAAGCTACAGTCAATAATATTCCAACTATATCATTGTGGCTTGTAAATAAAAAAATCTGGGTCATACAAAACAGTGGTTGATATTAACAGCAACATCTCACACAGTCACCGATTTGACCATCCCGTCTACTTTAGTTACTTGTTTGTTTCTTTGTTGTTTAATGCAGCACTCAGCAATATTCCAGCTATATGACGGCAGTCTGTAAATAATCGAGTCTGGACCTGACACTCCAGTGATTGACATCATGAGCATCGATCTACGCAATTGGGATACGATGACATGCATCAACCAAACAAATTCAACCTTAATAGTTCAATACAGCAAAATCAGGATTTGAATAGGTGATAATACTATTAGGAAACTAAGTGTATTTACAGCCATAAAAGCCAATACCGTAGTTGTAAACTAAAGAATAAATGTATCCTGAACACATACAGAAAATGTACTACATGCAGGTGGTAGGTGGCTGGTGGGAATTTAACAGTTACTACCACACTTTCTCTGGTTGATTTTGAGAAAGAGAAAAGTATTTCTGAATATTCTTAGTTTTATTTCTTCCTGCCACAGCCTAGTGTAAAAGCTCTGATTAATAAATAGTACTGATACAAAATCTCACCAAATCATTGAGTCAAACACAAATATATATTTAAAGATGCACACAGAAAACTATGTTTATTACAATTACACAATTCGCTTATACATAAAAAGGTTTCCACCAAATGTTAAGAAGAGCACGACAAGGTGTCCATCATGCTCAGAAATGCATAATATCACAAGCATAGCCAATATCTTCCACATAAAATGTTCCAACCATTTATCAATCTGGCATGGTTCACATCAGCTCATGACTTGCTCAGCACACATTTCCTCATTTTGGGAGGAAGATTGCATGATTCAGCAATAAAATAATATATCACAGCAAACCTTGATGTCCATTTCACCAGCATGAAGGATTTCAAAGTATTCTAAGGATCACCTTTGCAGTATATATTTAAAGTAAAATTGAGATATATGTAACAAGTATAAAAATAATATAACCCCTGAGTTGCAAGTAGAGATGTTATGAAATAATATATGAATTATACAATTCTTCTGCATCGATATGTTAATTGTCATGTGAATATACAAATTAACCAATGTTGCATATTAGTGCCTGTAATTTGCAAAGAAAAACTGGACCCTTTTCACTGGGTCTTGTGGCTCTTGAGGTACTCACACATTGTGTACCCAGAGGGGGATCAAACCTCTTTCTCTGTGACAGGCCACTGCCCGTGTAGCACAGATAAATAAGCCATTCACATTATTTCTAGGATCAACCTAGGATCATTGAAACTTGCAAGAGACACATTCCTGTAGTCTCAATGTATCACTATAGGTATAACATATTCAAGGCCTCAAAGTTGCAACTAAAACTGTCACTAATGTGACCTAAATTTCAATTTGTCTACTGTCTAAATTTCAGAGGGAGCCAAATGACTACCTTGAAAAAATCTTGTGGCGACTAAAGTCTATTGCAACACATATGTAAACACAAAAATAAACGTGTCTGCTACTTATTGTACTCACAAATAATTCCTCCTAAAGTCAACAATGAACCGAAATACATAAATATTAATGTAATTAGTATTTTATTTTAGCTGATAGTTTATTGGATAAGCAAGGATATACCTATATAATCTAGTAGCATAAATTGCATCATTGTTCGAGTCACAAAAAACAAAACTCAAGTACAGTTGCCACCAATAAACAATTCCAAGACTAATGCTATAACTTGTACATATAATAGCTATTTGATAAAAGATCATTTTGAATGCTTTGGCTACATACACTATTGGCTTGACTTCTTAATTTTACCACTGGCTACCTGGAAAAAAATACTTGTGGCTACGAAGTAAAAATTTAAACTTTGAGGCCTGTATTCATTTAAAAAAACAGTTGTGTGTGTTCCAGTCTATGAAATACTGTATAAAGTCTATATGTGTGTCTGCCTCTATAATGTATTAATTGTGAATGGCAGTCGGTGTGTTCCAGTCTATGAAATACAGTATAAAGTCTATATGTGTGTCTGCCTCTATAATGTATTAATTGTGAATGACAGTCGGTGTGTTCCAGTCTATGAAATACTGTATAAAGTCTATATGTGTGTCTGCATCTGTAATGTATTAATTGTGAATGGCAGTCGGTGTGTTCCAGTCTATGAAATACTGTATAAAGTCTATATGTGTGTCTGCCTCTATAATGTATTAATTGTGAATGGCAGTCAGTGTGTTCCAGTCTATGAAATACTGTATAAAGTCTATATGTGTGTCTGCCTCTATAATGTATTAATTGTGAATGACAGTCGGTGTGTTCCAGTCTATGAAATACTGTATAAAGTCTATATGTGTGTCTGCCTCTATAATGTATTAATTGTGAATGGTAGTCGGTGTGTTCCAGTCTATGAAATACTGTATAAAGTCTATATGAGTGTCTGTCTCTATAATGTATTAATTGTGAATGACAGTCGGTGTGTTCCAGTCTATGGAATACTGTATAAAGTCTATATGTGTGTCTGCCTCTATAATGTATTAATTGTGAATGGCAGTCGGTGTGTTCCAGTCTATGAAATACTGTATAAAGTCTATATGTGTGTCTGCCTCTATAATGTAGTAATTGTGAATGGCAGTCGGTGTGGTCCAGTCTATGAAATACTGTATAAAGTCTATATGTGTGTCTGCCTCTATAATGTATTAATTGTGAATGGTAGTCGGTGTGTTCCAGTCTATGAAATACTGTATAAAGTCTATATGTGTGTCTGCCTCTGTAATGTAGTAATTGTGAATGGTAGTCGGTGTGTTCCAGTCTATGAAATACTGTATAAAGTCTATATGTGTGTCTGCCTCTATAATGTATTAATTGTGAATGGTAGTCGGTGTGTTCCAGTCTATGGAATACTGTATAAAGTCTATATGTGTGTCTGCATCTGTAATGTATTAATTGTGAATGGCAGTCGGTGTGGTCCAGTCTATGAAATACTGTATAAAATCTATATGTGTGTCTGCCTCTGTAATGTAGTAATTGTGAATGGTAGTCGGTGTGTTCCAGTCTATGAAATACTGTATAAAGTCTATATGTGTGTCTGCCTCTATAATGTATTAATTGTGAATGGTAGTCGGTGTGTTCCAGTCTATGGAATACTGTATAAAGTCTATATGTGTGTCTGCCTCTGTAATGTATTAATTGTGAATGGTAGTCGGTGTGTTCCAGTCTATGAAATACAGTATAAAGTCTATATGTGTGTCTGCCTCTATAATGTATTAATTGTGAATGGTAGTCGGTGTGTTCCAGTCTATGAAATACTGTATAAAGTCTATATGTGTGTCTGCCTCTATAATTTATTAATTGTGAATGGTAGTCGGTGTGTTCCAGTCTATGAAAAACTGTATTAAGTCTATTTCTGTGTCTGTTTCTGTAATGTAGTAATTGTGAATGGCAGTCGGAGTGTTCCAGTCTATGAAATACTGTATAAAGTCTATATGTGTGTCTGCCTCTATAATTTATTAATTGTGAATGGAAGTCGGTGTGTTCCAGTCTATGGTGTGGACGGTCCCGGCTACCCCGGTCATCTTCCGGTACACCAGGAAGGTCTTTTAATGAATGGCAGTCGGAGTGTTCCAGTCAATGAAATACTGTATAAAGTCTATATGTGTGTCTGCCTCTATAATGTATTAATTGTGAATGGTAGTCGGAGTGTTCCAGTCTATAGTGTGAACTGTCCCAGGTACCCCGGTCATCTTCCGGTACACCAGGAAGGGAGGTCCAGGGAGGAGAGGGTTGTCCTCCGAGTACACCGTGCAGGTCTTGAAGGCACAGGGGGACTCCCTCCAGCTGTATCTGAGCCCCAGGACAGTCTGCCCCTCCCCACACACCAGGGAGTACAATGTGATGCTGGTAGAGAGGGGGGAGATGATTGGTGCAGAGGTCCAGTAGGGGGGTTGTGGTGGAGGTGGTCCGCTCAACTTGGACTGGACACTGCACAGAATCTGAAATAGTTTGGTTGGGCATTAATCAAATCATTATCAAGTTTCAAGTAATCTGCAAAACATCTAAACAGATGTCTTCTTTTAAGGCCATATCAAAGCATACTATAAAAGGGCCCTTGAACAGTTTCAAATGTGTTTATTCATCACGCAATATAAGCCATAGGCCCAGGTTAAAAAACCCATGACCTAGAGTGAGGACAAATAGCATTATAATACAGATTGACTTGATAATAGTGTTTGATATACATATTATGAGAATTGCTTGATTATGTTTTCATGTCTTGATGTTAACATATTTCATCATAATTAATTAACATCTTCTTGTGATATCACATGTAATGTACTCAAAGGTTTGTTTTAAATAGGTTCTCAATACATATTTTTACATAAGGTCATGAACAGAGAACTGTCCTGAATAAGGCTGTCATATGATCTACAAGATACACTACTGAATTGACAAAAAACAAAAGTAAAGTCTAGTTTACCTCAAATCCATCCCGGTTGTGGTACAGGATCGGTTGTGTGTATGTAAGGGTCAGGTTGTTTGACCCCTCGGTTATTGTCATGGGCCGTGGACCGTCAGCCAACACGTCCCGGCTGTACGCCACCCTCAGCCCTCCAGCAACCAGCCGCTTGCCAACATCTGTCTTGTCTCGAAAATGGACTCTGAAATGAGGATTCATATTTTGTCACAGAAACATGTCGTCCTGTAGCATTGTTCAAATTGACAAGGTATGAAAACGACTCTTTTTGGCCAAGTACAAAAGTAGAGCTAAAATGATAAAGGATGATTTTTCTAACTATCAACAAATTTGTTATCCACGATGAACTTTTTTTTCCATTTATTTAAACTTTATCTACATTTCCTGACAAAGTGATCATTGGACATCGAGACGAAGATGTGAGAGGACTGTACTGGGTATTCAGTACTCACGGCCACCAAGGGGAGATAAAGTCAGCCAGATCCATGGCAACAGCCATGAATGTTTTCTCCATCTTAGGATTTGGAACATAGCCATAGTCAGCGGTCTGGTGCCACCGGATCTCCGGGAACCCGGACGTAGGAGGATCAGGATTCATTGGACCCAACTGTGCAAGTGAGATGATAATAAGGTTGATCTACAGTCTTGCAGTATCATCACCGAGGAAGGTAGGGAAGGGCTCCAAAAACTGTACCCATGATTGAAATCAAAATCAGGCTTTTGGCAAGACAATGCTCAAGCTTGTTTTAAAGATGTCAGCCGGTGTGAGTTTGTGTTTGCTGCACAACCCAAACTTTCGCTGGGGTCCTTTTACGACAAGTTGTTAGTCAACCCACTTGTGCATTCTGAGGTGTGCTGTGTCGAGCACCCCCATCTTTGTCTGGACACCTTACATGTCCACCAATCATGTTTGTTGCTCACCTCGAGACTTTGGTATATGTAGTGTACACCTACTGGGGGAGGGGATCTGGGTGTGGCCACCCTTTTTTCTTAAAAATCTGGTGACATTTTGTATGCACATTTCCTACCATGATAACATGTTGATTTGGTTGTCAAAGTAAAATTATTAATAAATGGTACAAGTGGAAGCCCCTTGTTTAAAATTCCGGGATCCACCCCAACAAACATTTATGTGATTTCTGTTTTGCAAAGATGAACATAACCAGTGAGTTCCAAATGCAAAAACATAAAGGCATGCTTAGTATTGTAGTGGATATTTTATACATCTTGTTGTTTCTGAGTGCCATTGCATCTACATTCAAAAGGGTGTACTATCAAGGGTACATTTCTTTACTGTTGCAGTTTCCATTTGCAAAGATCAAAATCTGAAAATTGAAGTGTGAAGAAATGAAAACAAATCGTTTCACAAAATGGACGTCTTGATCGTTAAAAAACCCACGCATCCTTCAATAAGAGTGGGCAGTCAAAGTTCATTCACGGTTCACCTGACATGATGTTCTGTCATCAGATCTACACAAAGTATGGGGGTAAAAAATCTGTTTTGAATGAGACTGAATATATATATGATTAATTCCCATATTCCAAAAGGTCGCATGTTGCTTACAGCAAAATGACTAAGAACAGCTCTTCAATGTTCCTTACGTTGCAATGAAACCTCAATGACATCATAGCACTGTATAGCATCATTACTTGAATGTTGCTGCACTTTTGAAGGAAATAAACATGTCTTGACCCATTTTCTCAAAAACAATCACGCTAACCTATAAAAACTATTTCGTTTCTGTATAGATAAAGATTTTATCTTTATGTATTTAAAGTATTTAAAGTTAAATATTATTAACAATACTTTTAACTGTTAACAGAGTGAGGGCTTTGTAGTGTAGTGTGAAATTGGTGTAGTAGGCAATAAGAACATCTTGTGTAATATAATTCATAGCTCACCATCTTTTTAAAAAAATTGGTCAGGAAGACTTAGTCATTTAGCTCATAAAACATTTTATTCCAGAAAAAGGAATAGCGGGTATCTTTGAGGAAATCAAACAAATCCAAGCAAGCAGTCTTTCTATTATGTTTTTCTTACTGCTACTAAAGTGCAAGAATGATTGCGTTGTAACTTAAAGTATACACTGTTTTGACAGTGTTTTTGCTAAAGAAGAGGACCAAAACTATTTTCTATCCCAGGTTTCCTGAGCAAGTGGTGAAAACAGATTTGGGAAACTAATGCTTATTGTATACGACAAGCCTTGAAGGTTGACTCAGCCCTTGTTGATCACACACAGAAGGATACACAGCCCAGCAGTTTCAGTTACCTGAACAAATCCAAAAGGGAAAAGTTTGTCAGTCTGTCCAAGTGAGCCCTGGTTGAACTTGAGTCTCCAGTCTGAGATCATGGCAGGGAAGGTGCAGTTGTACTTGTGGGTGTTGGCGCCAGGCATGGCATTGTTCTCTCCTGCATGGGACGATATGGAAAATTCTTAATATTTCGATTCATTAAACTGTGCTTTATAACCCACTGGATACAAAATGACTGATAAACCTTCATTCAAGAACCATCCATTCCCTGCCCACACTGGTGAACTACAGGTGTAGATACAACTTATAACCCATCCTCCTGAGGCCATCCTGCAGAGTCCAATCAAAATCGTGTGACGAATCATACATCCAGTTCACAAACAACACTGATCTCAGGTTGACTGAAGGATTTGCAAAGCATGTGTACTACCAACTGGGCATTGACAGATATTTTGCAAATCTTTTCATGTTTCTAATTCAGGTGCTCAAATAGTGCTCACATAATACAAGTCCTATTCCTCATACATGTAGATGACATTTATGATACGGAAAAACACTCAGCTAATAATTTCTATTTCTCATATAATGTATAGGTTTTTCGGGAGGATAAAGCCAATGGTAAATATCCTGTATTAGGAATAAACGCTATGTATTTAGCTCGCCAAGGCTTGCTAAATACAATGTTTAATCCTAACACTGGATATTATCATCCCCTAACAGAGTTGTGTGATAACCTCTATATATCCAACTAGGCCATACTCCATGGCTAATTTGCTATCTGCTGATCCGACATACTCAGCATGTGGATATGTATGACAAACCTAACAGTACCTTGGTACCAGATGGCTCCATATATGGTCATGTTGAGTAGAGGGTGGATCATGCAGTTCCACAGCTGGGTGGGGGTGAGCTGGTTCCTGTAGCCAGGTGTGTCCCTCTCACTGTCATCACTGCGGGGAAAACAGTGGTGCAGACAATAGTCACTACACACTTGGCATGAAGCATACAGCGGTACCAATGACTTGTGGCAAATTCTTATTAGTTTCTTTCGATGTACAGATTTTTTACAATTTTGTATATGGGAAAGAGAATGAAAATTATTGTCAAAGAAATCCCTTTTGCAAATCATGCAAGTTAATATATGGAAAAACTGAATATTAAATACATATGAATTGTAAGCATTTTTGTAAACAATAATTCATACACGCATGCACGTCGCTATGTAAGTGCAATAGTCTTTGTTGCAATGTTAAACCCCATTTCACCTCAGAAGTCAGAAGTCAAAATGTTGCATGTCTAATTGAGACAAACAGCTCTCAGTCGTTTGAACACCTTTTGTGATTTTCATATGTACATTTTAAAGTATTACATAACTCTAATATTTGACATAACCAGTGGTCAAAAAAAGATCCCTAATCCAACCTTGATCTTAATAATATCAATATAGCAACAGTAGACATATCTCTACAAATATTCTCATACATGTGCAAGAAGGATTCCACAATCTCTGTAGAGGAAATTCCACACTGGCCTAAGGCATCTCTTGATGACCAGGCCTCAATGGGGGTTCCGCCGTATGACGTGTCTATCAATCCAATCGGATATCCAAGTTCCTGGTAGAGATATTTGCCATACAACCAGCACACCGCGGAGAAATACACTCCAGTACCATCAGCTAGTGTCCCTAGAGACAGACAGACGTTAGTAGTATTAAACTCATACTGACCAAACTGATACAAGACTTTGGTTGACCCTGGCCACATGAAACATGGGAAAAGTTATGCAAAAATGGCACTTTTTATGGAAACTGATACATATCGTATTGTGACTCAACTATTGTGAGATGTGACGACACAAGAATTAGGAGCAAGTAACTTTAATGAATCATCATCACCATCATCAACAACACAATCAAATCCAGCATCCTCATTACAACCGTCAAAGGTAGCATGTTGAACATCATAGCAGTAACAACAGTCACCAGCTGTCCTCACTCCCATGATTTTCAAAGATATTTGAACAAGACCTGTCCATTTGTCCTGCACAAATGTTTGTTTAAACTTCTCTTCCATTTTGGCATCATTATAAAAATTATAACGGTGTTAGAACCTAGACTGAAGCGTCACTCCTAATTGTAATAAAGAAGTTGTTCATCCATAAATCT